TCAAATAATAGCAACCTAATATAAACCCAATAGCTACGGTTTGAAAATTTAACAACTCGATTAGACATCGGATTGCTTCGGGTTGAGTTATTTCACGTTGGGTTGGGTTAATCGGGTTGGTCGGGTTTTTGAGCACCCCTAATTAATATGATGATCTGATGAAATTGGATCCATCCAATCTGTTAATTTAATCCAATTTTCCAACAACGAAACAAATTGATTAATCATTTTTAATATGTTTTAAAACTAACATTCAAAAACCAACACAAAAGAAATTCCTATTAAAACAAATTAATTGAATGTTGGTCGATTCAGTTATGTTGGTTTTGGTCAGTTCTAGACTGTCATCAAAAAGCCGGTCGATCCAAATTTAAGATTACAACTTATTCTCTTGAAGACATGAAACTTCTTAAACCTCCGCATTCAAACTCTATAAAGAGTAACTGAAATACATTTAAATACAAGATAAACATTAAATTTTACGAATACAACAAAATACTCCATAAATTTCAAGACTTGTATTAATTTTTTATTATAGGTTCACCATAAAAATTTATATCTTACTATACTGCAAGGATACACAACTAATATTATAAGAATATTTTCCATGTTACATATACATATATACGTGTGTATATATATATATATATATATATATATATAGAGAGAGAGAGAGAGAGAGAGAGAGGTGCGTTATTATGCAGCTCTTTACATTTGTACAACAAACACACTCAATCAACCGTCCATTTAATTTGATAAATATGTGATTTTATAAAAGTTTTGATTGTTTCATAATATAAAGTATTGATCATAATTAATAAACTCTAGTAATCTTCCATAAATATTCAAATCATAATAAATAAACTCTCATCATTTTTATAAATATCTCAATTGATTAAATTACATTGGTTGTACAAATAAACATGGTTGCATTTGAAATATATCATATATATATATATATATATATATATATATATATATATATACCGATGATATAAAGTTATTTCATTACTTAACGAAACTTATCTACACCTACGACCTACCCTAACCCGACCCCACACTATCTGATCGGTTGTTATTCAACAAGCAACTACAAAATGGTAAGCCTTTTCATAGCTTTTAGAGCATCTCTAAAAACTATGCTAGAATAGAAATTTTAGAGATTCAGAAGATATTTTTTGCTCCAACTGCTATGCTATTTATAAATTTAGAAGATATTTTTGCTCAAATAGCTATGTTATAATGTATGCTAAAATAAAGAACAGATGAAATAGAGGATAGATTAGAGAAGATTTTTGAAAGAGAGTTTGGTTAAAAAAAAGTAAATGTCATCAAAACTGTATATTTTTTTATTAACCTGGATATCCAACCCGTTATGTGAGCCGACTAATTTTAGGGCGACCACCTGCTTTGCAGATAGCCCGGAGTCATCATATTTGAACCTCCGTGGCCACAAAAGGATTTTTATTCCTCCTTAGATTTGAATATGGGACCTTCTAGTACTTTTAACCTTTAGAGCCAAACTCAAATCAATCAGACATCAACTTAAAATTTGTATGCAAATAATAATTCATCTTCAATCATTAACACCATTTTTTTACAGAATATGGAATATTCTAAGCTCCAGAAGCATATTTGTTTGGATGTTTTATAGCTCTATCACCAGCCAATAAATCTAAGGAAGCAAATGAGCGGATTTATTTTAGCAAATTAGAAGGGTATTCGTGCAATACAGCGAGATATATCTTGATTTTAATGTTCCATTTTATTTCGTCTATGTAGATGTTTTAATACGGTGTTTATGTGGTTTTGAGAAAGGGATAATGTTTTTGTTTTTAAATAAGATATAAAGTGGAAAATATCATGAAATTTCAAAAATAAATATATCAATATTAGTATCAAATTAACTATTTAAAAGTTATTATTTTTTGTGTAATTCATTTAATTCAATTTAGATTTAATAATGAATTAATTTAGTTTTGATTTAATAATATATTTTTTTATAAGAATAATAATTAAGTATTTTATTAGAACTCAATGATTATCCTAATTATATCTATACTATATTATAAAGCATTTGACAAAAACTCTTAAAAACCAATTTTTAGGCATAAAATACTGTTTATCCATGCATATTACTTAAAACTCAAGATTGCAAGTAGATTGTACGTAAGTACAACTTATTAAAACTCCATATCTGAATTCGTGTAACTAACTGCAGATAAACATAATCAAATACAAGATAAACATCTCATTTTAAATATAAAAAATCTAAAATATAATTAGGATAATCATTGAGTTCTAACAGAATGTTTAATTATTATCTTTATAAAATGTTATAATATTAAACCAAAAATAAATTATTTCGTTATTAAACTTAAATTAAATTATAATAAAAAAATAAATTAAAGAAATTACATTAAAAAATGGAACTTTTAAATAGTTGATTTAATATTAACATGAATATATTTTTTTCAAATTTATATTTTATTCAAAAATAAAATCATTATTGTTTTCTTAAAAATACATAAAATAGTATTATAACATCGACAGAGACAAATAATAAAATAGAACATTAAAATCGAGATGTGTCTTGCTGCATTGGCGAATACCCTTCTAGTTTAAAATGAAATGTTTATCTGCAGTTAGTTACACGAATTCAAGTATGGAGCTTTAATAAGTTGTCTCTATGCACAATTTACTTGTAATCTTGAATTTTAAGTAATATGCATCAATAAACAATATTTCATGTATAGAGAATGGTTTTTAAGAGTTTTTGTCAAATGTTTTATAATATAGTATAGATAGTTACGAAAAGTATAAGGTTTTTTGCATTTATAACGTCAACTATAATATGAATCTACAGTCTGCTGTAGCTGAGTTAACGTACATTTGCATATGTCAATTAAACATTTTCTTGTAGTCCGTTCATGAAACTTATTTTTGAAGGACAACTCTTCCATCGCTAAGTAAAGATCCGAATTGTTTCAACTTTCCTACAAGTTAAGGCCTTTATGCAAACAAGTGTTATACTTTTTGAAATATAGGAAAGTCTGCATACATTTTTTTTTATTAACCTGGATATCCAACCCGCTATACGAGCCGACTAATCCCAGGACGACCACCTGCTTTGCAGATAGTCCGGAGTCACCGCATTTGAACCTCCATGGCCACAATGAGATTTTCATTCTTCCTTAGATTTGAACCTAGGACCTCCTGGTACTTTTGACCTTTAGAGTCAAGCTTAAACCAATCAGGCACCACCCTTGTGGTTAAGGGGCTGTTTGGCAGTTGCTGAATGATTTAGTACAGAATAGTTAAGTGGTCAGAATGATTAAGAGGGACATAATGGTTAAGTGTTGAATGAAATAATGTTGTTTGGTAACTGTTCTCTGAATGACAGTAAATTACCATTTTAACCCTCTGTGCCTAAACCCATGAAATTTAAACATACAGTGCATAAACCCATGAAATTTCAGTGCACATACAGCAGGCTTGTGAAAAGATAAAGCATAACCCCATGAAATTTCAACATACAGTGCATAACCCATAAAATTTCTATTGGTTTCCTGGAAAATCAAATACCATGGGGTATAACCAGGCTTGATAATCAATAACAATGGGTATAAGTTTCCTGAAATTTATGTTTGTTTCCTGGTATTTCAAGATCTGTTGTTTCAACATACAGTATAACAATGGGGCAGAATAATACCTAAAGCGAGGAAAGGGATGGAGGCGACTGGTGACGAGCGGCAACGTGCAGCGGCGACGAGAGGCGGCGATGAACGGTGGCGACGAGCGACGGCGACGACAGACGGCTTTGGAAGAAGCCGACGTGAGACCTGCTGGAAGAAGAAGACCGACCGACGATCATAGGGTGGGGGTGGCGATTTGCAGACCGGCGACTAGAGGGTGGGGGGAGGGGCTTTGAAGACCGGCGACGAGAGGGTGGGGGGAGGGGCTGTGAGCAACGTGTGAGGAAAGCTTGGGAGAGAGGACAAAATTGGAAAAAGAACACTCTGAATGGTTTAGAGAATCCTCAGATGCAAAATGGTTAAGAGAGGTTGTGTAACCATTAAGAGCCTTTTTTTTGCCAAACAACCTTGACCTCTTATTAATTAAAAGGTTGGCTCTTAACGGTTAACCAAACAAACAGCCCCTAAGTCTGCATATATCTTACCTCCCTGAACACCTTACTTTTGTCCTATCACATAAAGGAAGAGGTGGGGGCGCACCCAATAAAAAATTTTCAATGACGAGAATTTTTTTACACACACTCTCTCTCTCTCTCTCTCTCTCTCTCTCTCAATGCTCCGCCCCTGCCTTCTCGAGTCTCATTACCACTAACCATCGTCCAACATTCACCCAGTCATGCTCACACACTGTGCCCTCGGTTTGCAGAAGTTATGGATCTATGTTGCTTTCGAGTGGGAGACACTTATTTCGTTTTGTTTCTGCTTTCAAATTGATTTTCTTCAATTAACGTTAACAATCCAAGTTCTTAACTACGAAATGGATAGATATCTTAGGTGGCTGCTCTAATTTGTGGCACATATCATAGCGAGGAGTACCATAATAAAAAAATTCTATTTTTAATAGGACCTTCAACCGATAAGGATTACATCTCCATCATGAACGTAAGATCAAGATTCTATGAGGAAACATTTGATGCCAGAAGAAGTTACATACGACGGGTTTTTTCCACAAACGATCAAAAACGCTATACACTGTTCATTTAACAATCAAAACAGAAACCAGTTCATGTACAAGATCAATAATCCTCAACCCTAATCGATATGAATCGGGTTTCTTTATCCAAACATCGAATTTTAAAACCACAAAATAGTGGTTGGTGACCAAATTGGAAATAGTCCTCAAAACCTTGGTTGTTGAAATGCAATTAGCCAATTAATTATGCCCAAAGGCCAAATCAAGATGGCAAGAGTTGCCACCAACTCTTTGGCCTTTCTGACAAACACACCTTCCGTCCATTTTCACACACCTTCTTTGTTTCAAGGTCAATTTGCATCGATTGACCTCTTCCAAATGGGGTTTTCGATCTGAAATTGATGAAATCAAACAATTGGGTGATTCATTTTGGTTGATTTAGGGATTTCCATCGTCCCCAACACCTAATTCCTTCCACATTTGGAAGTATTATTTGAAATGTGAGCGATGTTGGTTTCCACGTAGGACTCACCAACCCCCCAATCTCTATCCTTCTTACCAACTTTTCTGTGTATATAAAGTCCGTATCAAACTAGTTTTGCAGAAGCCACAAGCGAATCAACCTTTTTGCTTTTTGGGGTTTTGTGTAGCTAGTGCAAATGGGTAGTGTTGGTGTGTTGAGAAATACGACAATGGTGTGTGTGCCATTGATGAGTCATTCCGTCGAACAGATGGTGAGCGATATGTATCAGGCCAAAGTTGAAGGTGCAGATTTAGTGGAACTCAGACTTGATTGCTTGAAGGAGTTCAACCACCAACAAGATCTTCAGACTCTTCTCCGCCGTAAACCACTCCCCGTCGCCGTCGTCTACCGGTAAGTTTACTATGTACATTCATAACTGCACATCGTACAACTCCCATCTGCATATTTGCTCTGTTTCCCCGTCGCTATGGGATTATACACCATTGGTGTTTCAAAACAAATTTCCATTTTTATTGAAATTTATTTGTTGAATAGTATTTCATACAATTTTGTTTGAAGTTGTTCCATTTTGTGCTTAATTTTTTTAGTAAATGATTATATAAATATTTTAACTCGCACAATGCAGTGAGATACATCTCAATCGATTTTAATGTTTCGTTTTATTTATTTATTTTTTGTCAGCCGATGTTATAATATGGATTTATGTGGTTTTGAGATAATGTAATGTTTTTATTTTTAAATAAAATATAAATACGAAGATATCATAAAAAAATTAAAAAAAATGTTGATATTAATACCAAATTAACTATTTAAAATTTCTCCATTTTTGGTTTAATAATATAATTTTTTATAAAGATAATAATAAAGTATTTTGTTATGAGTTAATGACTATCTTAATTATATTTTAGATTTTTTATATTTAAAATGACATGTTTATAAATTACATGAATTCAAACATTAAGCTTTAATAAAGTGTACTTACGTACAATTTACTTGTAATCTTGAATTTTAAGTAATATTCATCAATAAATAGTACTTCATACATAAAAAATGGTTTTTAAAAGTTTTTATCAAATATTTTATAATATAATATAGATAATAATAATTGAAATCTATTTTATTTAAGAAAAGAAAAAAACCTTCACCAAATAAGTTTGGAACCCTCTTTCTCTCTTTCTACTTTCTTTTCCAATTTCCATTTTACTTCTAATTATTCAAAAAGTGTGGATTTTCAAGATTGTCTGCTTCTATTTATTATATCTGAATTTATTTATTTTTATGTCAAAATATATTAATTCCAACGGTTTCTTTTATTTTAAAAAGAATTCTTTATATTATATTTTGAAATACAACATACTTTAAATTCTAAGAATTCAGAGAAAAATGATTTTTATTTTATGAAATTAAATTATTATTTTATATAAAGTTTAAAAAAAAAACGTATTGTAATAATAAAATTATAAGTCTCTGAAATAAAGAATATGTTAGAATTAAATTTCAAGAAACGCATCCTTAATGAATAGTGTAGAGGGACGGGACGACATCATACCCTATTGAAATAACTTATGTTTTTTTTACAAAAGCACTTATCAAATTATTATAAGTCAGAATGATTTAACTTCTTCAAAAACTATTTATTACCGGTTTGTCACCGGTATAAGTTGTTTATCCAAATACTCAAAAATGTTTATTACCAGTTCCACACCAAAATAAGTCAATAAATTGTTTTTATAAGCAATTTCAAACACCTTACCTAACTTCTCAAAAGAAAAATCTCATGTGGAAGTAGATAAAGGTTGTGGATTTAAGGTAACCACACATAAGAAATAACAACCGGCAACAATCTATAAATGTTTTTTTGGTCATTATTTATGTACGACAAGTTGCTAAAGATTTATTTTTTATTCTATTTTTTTAATATTTGATATGATAAATAATTTCTTATTTTTTCATAGAGAAAATATCTATACTATATTATAAAGCATTTGACAAAAACTCTTAAAATTCATTTTTTATGCGTAAAGTACTGTTTATTAATGCATATTACTTAAAACTCAATATTGCAAGTAGATTGTGCGTAAGTACAACTTATTAAAGTTCCATATCTGAATTTGTGTAACTAACTGCAGATAAAAATAATCAAATACAGGATAAACATCTCATTTTAAACATAAAAAATCTAAAATATAATTAAGATAGTTATCGAATTCTAACAGAATACTTAATTATTATCTTTATAAAATGTTATATTATTAAACCAAAAATAAATTATTTCGTTATTAAACTTAAATTAAATTATAATAAAAAAATAAATTAAAGAAATTACATAAAAAATGAGAACTTTTAAATAGTTGATTTGATATTAACATTGATATTTTTTTTTTTTCTAATTTTTGTGATATCTTCAAATTTATATTTTATTCAAATACAAAATCATTATTGCTTTCTTAAAAACACATAAAATCGTATTATAACATCGACAGAGACAAATAATAAAATAGAACATTAAAATCGAGATGTATCTCGTTACATTGTGTAAGTATTCTTCTTTCAAGTTACAAAATTTAGTGATGAGTAAACTAGATGTTGCATTGTTTTTCAAAAGTCTCATGATGGCCCAATAATAATCAACTATGAAACATCACATTTTAATCACTTTCAAAGTAAAGTCCTCTCATTTTCTCTTATTTGACTATATTTTTTTAGAAACATGTTTTCACTAGTTTGAAGGGTTTTTAAAAAAAACAACCATTTACTTTTTAGGACAGGCAAATTGTATGAAAAATTAACGTACTTTAATTTGTTTTTTATTTTAGGTAACGAACTTTTAAAACTTTCATTTTGGTACTTAAGATGTAAAATTTTAAACATTTAAGTACACGGGTAACCGGTTGAAGACTAATTTTAGATTAAAAAAATTTCATGTCATTAACCATGTCAGCAAATAATACTGAGTTGGATACCACATCACTCGTCACATCAGCATGATACCCGGATACTTAAATGTTTAAAAGTTTACATCGTAGGTACCAAAATGGAAGTTTTAAAAGTATGTTACCCAAAATAAGAATCAAGTTAAAGTACACAACTCTTTCATGCAATTTGCGCTTTTAGGATATAATATAAATCTGTATATATGTATTGGGTTTGGTTTGGTTTGGTTTATAATATTAGGAAATATATGTAAAATTTATTTTCATAAGTTTTATAAAAATTGCATTGTTTTTTGTTTTAGGTTCATTCCTATTTAAATTATAATTCCGTGCATCATCATGCTTACAAATAAATTGATGGTAATGATTTGAATTCACAAAATTTTATGTTTGTTACGTAGTATTTTAGATATTAACAGTGTTGACTAATGGGAAAATGTTTTAAAACTCTTAAACTCCTTATTACTAGTTTGTCACCGGTATAAGTTGTTTATCCAAACACTCAAAAGTGCTTATTACCGGTGTCACACCGAAATAAGTCAATAAGTTGTTTTTATAAGCAATCCCAAACACCCCTTATTATCCGAAAAATGATATGCATTAAAGTAAGTAAACCAAACAAAAGTTCAAACTCAAAGATCCATTCTCCGGGAGATTAACTCAATTATACGGAAGTTTATCTACAATGCCATGCCCCTAATTAGAGGGAAATTCCGTTAGGAACCCAGAAAGAGCCTACAGTGCGTCACGTGTCACTCTTTAGGATGAATATTCGTCATGAATAACAAAACACATGCACGATGAATATGGACATGCTATTCATTATGAATCGCACATTCATGATAAATATGTTACAACATCCATATTCCTTATGAATACGTGTCGTGCTATGGACAGTTTCTAGGTTTCTAATCAATTGTAGGTTTCTAACGAACCTGCCCTCTAACTATGCTCATAATGAGCAATGTGATCTTGATATCGAGAGATTAAATTTCCATGGGGAAATGCAGACATATAGCCGCATAAGTAGGAATAGTGGCACCTGCGACAATATTGTTTCCCATTGTTTCTTGAATTCCGTCATCGTTTTTAATCAGACGATCCATTAAGCCAACAAGACTGTTTCTGTTGTTGTCTAGGCCAAAATGGGAGGGTGGTCTCTATGAGGGTGATGAGAACTCAAGGCTGGAAGCACTTCTACTTGCTAAAGACTTGGGAGCAGAATATGTTGATTTTGAGCTTCAGGTACTCATTCTAATCCTCTATATGTACACATACCAACTTATCATAATGTTTCCGAGTCCTTTTAGCATCTGCGATTATAGAAAAATCTACTAATCATGCCGTTTTCTTGATGGGTTGTTCCTAATAAACACCAACTTATCAGAAAGTTCTCGAGTCTTTTTAGTATCTGGGATTATAATGAATCTACTAATCATGCCATTTTCTTGAGGAGTTCTTCGAAGAAACGCTATAAAGAATCTACTAACGTATGAGACTGATTACTCAGGTAGCTTACGATATCATGGAAAAACGCAAATTTTCTCAGCAAAAGAGTTGCAAGATAATTGTATCTTGTTTTGTGGATGGAGTGACATCCTTGAAAGAAGATCTAAGCCATCTTATAACAAGAATGCAATCTACTGGAGCAGATATCATCAAACTTGTTACAAGTGCAACCGATATTACAGAATTATCAAGAATTTTTCATTTGCTTTCGCATTGCCAGGTACCACCCTCTTCTATATGCAACTCTTCAACTACTTTGTCAAATATATAAAACACCCACCAATAAAATGGAAAAATCAATCTGCAAAGATGTAATTTGATTAAGGCCATGTTTGGTAACAATAAGCTGCTTATTGAAAAAGCACCCTTTTTGTTAGCCAACAACTAGAAAGGAAATGACTTGTGTTTGGCTGTCTGCAGGTACCATTGATTGCATACTCAACAGGGGAGAGGGGGCTTATTAGCCAATTACTAGGACCAAAGTTTGGTGGTGTTTTAGTGTATGGATCAATAGAAGGAAATCTGGTACCGGGTCTACCAACGCTGGCGAGCCTTAGAGAAGCATACGGAGTTGAGCATATAGACGCGGATACAAAGGTGTTTGGGCTAATCTCAAAGCCAGTAAGCCATAGCAAAGGCCCTCTTTTGCATAATCCTACTTTCAGACATGTCGGATACAATGGGGTTTACGTTCCAATGTTCGTGGATGATCTTAAACAGTTCTTTAACGTCTATGAAAGTCCTGACTTTGCCGGTTACAGGTGCGCAAAGGGTAAAATTGTCTTTTTGTTAATTAGAACCGTTTAGGAATTTCATTCCTTTTGACACTGTGTTTCTTGATCATTACTTTATATAGTGTTGGAATCCCATACAAGGAAGCAGTAATGGAGTTTTGTGATGAAATCCATCCTCTTGCTAAGGTTCACTTCATTATATATTTTAAAATTCTTTTTTTTTTTTTTAAATGAAATTTAGAAGCAAATGTTAAAGAAGTGCTGTATGTATGGCTTAAGCAGTCTATAGGTGCTGTTAATACCATTGTGAAGAGGCTGAGTGATGGGAAGCTTGTTGGTTATAATACAGACTGTGAAGCTTCCATAACTGCAATTGAGGATGCTTTAAAAGGTACACACAACACAGTCAAACTTCAACCTTATTTTTAACTAAAAACATACCTTTTCTTTATTTTGAATCCTTTTTGTGATTGTTGGGGAAGCAAGATGTGTATGATACAATTACGCTACGTGAAAAGAACGGATTAAAGATTGATGTCGATATGTTGTTTGTTCTTCTTATAACTAATAATAACCATACATTGCAGCTCGAGGTCTCGTAAACGGAGAAGCATCCCTCCCTTCTCCTCTCACCGGGAAACAATTTGTGCTCGTTGGCGCGGGAGGTGCGGGGAGAGCTTTGTCATTTGGTGCCAAAAGCAGGGGTGCACGAGTTACCGTTTTCGATATTGATTATGGTATGTACATTACTAGCTCTATCCTTTGGTTTGGGGTTATTTAGCTAAATGACCTACCGCCATGTTTTTTAAATCCATGAGCATCAAACAAATTTCCAAGCATTCTTGTGTATGGAAGTGACATTATGCTGTTAGGCAGTGACATTTTCAAACCTAGTAGAAGGTCATAGATTTATAAAAGAACTTGTCCGAAGGTCATTTAACCGAAGGACCCACCTATCGTGCAAGCCTAAAGTTCCATCTCATGATTGTTAATTAAAAATTTTAACCTATGTGTTTAAAGATCGAGCCAAGTTGCTTGCCCTTGCGGTGTCAGGTGAAGCTCGACCCTTTGAAGAGTTGACTAAATTCCAACCCGAAAAAGGTGCAATCCTTGCGAATGCAACACCCATCGGGATGCACCCGAGTAAAGATCGAATCCCCGTTGCCGAGGTTCGTTTTTTACTATTTTTCTTGTCCCATGAAAGTTGCAACATTTTGGTTTAGTCGACTAACAAATGTTGTTTTTCCTTGTAACTTCAGGAAACACTGAGAGATTACTCGGTCGTGTTTGACGCCGTTTATACACCTAGGAAAACTACGCTTTTAAAAGACGCGGAGTCTGCGGGTTCCATCATTGTTAGCGGGGTCGAGATGTTCCTTCGACAAGCCGTCGGCCAATTCAATCTTTTCACGGGAGGCAAAGGTACTTTTATACTATGTGAATAACGTAATGTCCCCTTCTGTTCCACCAATCATATGTGAATGTGATTTTTAATCCAAATAACCAACCATTTAAAGATAGAAAATGATGTGGTGGTAAATGACCATTTTGGCCTTCAAGGTGTTTGTGGTTATCTGATACCATTATATTTCATTATGTTGTAGCACCTGAAGAATTCATGCGAGAGATTGTCTTATCGAAGTTCTGATTGATTCATCGATTTGTGAATAATAATAATACTGAAACAAATCCTGGAGTTCAAAATCAGATGAAGAGTTTCTGATATGAATATTGAGGATTGGGGGTATATTTGTAAACTCACTCTACCAACTATTAATTTGATTTTTTATTAGACACACATATTTAATTGTAAGTATTTGGGTTTCTTTTCTCTTTTCTTGTGAACTATGGGTGTCTATGGGGTGTTTGGTATTGCTTATAAAAACAATTTATTGACTTATTCCGGTGTGGCACCGGTAATAAGCACTTTTACGTGTTTGGATAAACAACTTTTACGGGTGTCAAACCGGTAATATGGAGTTTTTGAAGAAGTTAAACTCTTTTGACTTATAATAAGTTTATAAGTGCTTTTACAGAAAAGCATAAGTTGTTTGAAATAATCAAACTTCAAGAAGAGTCTTGAAAGTTGTCTGTATGGATTTGGATGTAGTTGATAGATGAAAATGTGAATGGTTTTTGGAGTTGTTCAGATTTGGTCATCTATTCAGAACAGTTGACAGCTTTCTAGCAATGTCTTATTTGGATACTTACTGAATGTAAAACAGATGCATTCAGAAGAGGGGCTGTGACTCTGATCTTAGAATAAAGACAAAATCTCAAGTCTGCAATAAGACATGGCATGTTAGGGGCAACAAAGTGGTGAGCTAACCACAAGGGTGGTGTCTGCTTGGTTTGAACTTGGCTTCGAAAGTCAAAATTACCGGGAGGTCTCAGGTTCAAATCCAAAGAGAAATAAAAATCCCCTTGTAGCCATGGAGGTTCAAATGCGGTGACTCCGGGCTATCTGCAAAGCAGATGGTCGCCTTGGGATTAGTTGGCTCACATAGCGGGTTGGATATCCAGGTTAATCAAAAAAAACAAAGTGGTCAGCTGTGGTTGATTTCTAAGTTGCATTAGAGCTGAATAAGGATTGTGTACACCTGACTGCTGTGCTGCTCCTGATACTCATTTGGAAAACATAAAGAACTTCAAGGGCTGATCTGTGAAGTTGATGGAAAGAATGATCAAATTTAAATTCAAGTGCAGACCTGTTCCTAGTTATAGCTAAAATAAAGGGCCGTTTACTCAAATACTTACCCGGTAAGTGCTTACTGGTAGGAGTCTAACACTATAATCTATTTTACTAGATAAGATTGTAGTATATTAAAATGGTATCGTATGCAACAATTTACCTGGTAAATGCTTACATGGGTAAGAGTTCTCACCATCACTTGCTAGGTAAAACTCTCTATCCCTATCATTGCTCTTCCGGGTAAGATTTTCAGCTTTTGGCATGTGCATTAGGTGAGGAAAGTTACCCGATCCACACTTACCGGGTAAGTATTTAGTAAACGGCTCTTAAATAACATTTTGTCAACCTTTTTGTCGGGAATATTTACTCAAATAGTCATTTTATAATATGGATTTTACTTTTTAGTCACTTTTTACGGTCTTTTTTCTGAAATAGTCATACTTTATGTGGAGACTGTATGCAGAAGCTTTCTCTATGCAAAGCGCGTTTTTTTATATAAAAAAAATCAACTTTAGACTTTATGTAAAAATTCAAGTTTTTGTGTAAACTTTCTGCGTAAAATATGTTTGGTTAGCAGAACACATGTCATATTCCAACTAGGCAAACTTTACGCAGAAAGTGAACTTTCTTCGAAAGTTTTTTTTTAATTTTTCCATTTTCCAGAATTATTAAAAATAATTAAAAAAATATTTTTTTTATATTTTTACATTTGAGGAACCGGATGTAAAAATTTCACATTTAATTTTTTAATTATCTTTAATAATTCTGAAAAAATATTAAAAATAAAAAAAAATTAATAATTCTGGAAAAATAGGAAAATAAAAAAGTTTACTCGTAAACTGTTATTTATTTATTTATTTTGGAAAAAACAGAGATAAAAAATTAAAAAATTAAATAAAATTAGACTTTAACTTTGGGCAAATTGCATGAAAAAATAACGACTTTGACTTGATTCCTATTTTGGGTAACGTACTTTCAGAACTTTCATTTGGGTACTTATGATGTAAAGTTTTAAAGACTTAAGTACCTAGGTAACCGGTTGAAGACTAACTTTAGATTAACAAAAGAGATTAGTTTTAGATTAAAAAAATTCATGTCACTAACCACGTCAGCAAATAATACTAAGTTTGATATCACATCACTTGTTAATGCTTCAATCAGTTACCCGTGTACTTAAATGTTTAAAACTTTACATTTTAGGTACCAAAATGAAAGTTTTAAAAGTACGTTATCCAAAATAAGAATTAAGTTAAAGTACGTTACTTTTTCATTCAATTTGTCATTTAACTTTCTAAGTAAAGTATGTCTAATTAGAATCTGATGTGTCAAGCAGACATACTTTATGCATAAAATTTACATAAAAACTTGACTTTGTACATAAAGTCTAAAAATTGAAAGTTATTTTAAATTAACTTTACGCAAAAGAAAAAAAGCCTAAACGTAAAGTCTCGGCATAAAGTGTGGTTATTTCAGAAAAAAAAAAGTGTGGTTATTTCAGAAAAAAAAAGGTAACGAAAAGTGGCTAAAAATAAAAGCCATTTTACCAAATAGGTATTTTCGTAAATTTCCCCCTTTTGTACTATTTGATTATAATTGTACATTTACCTTTTTTATTCAATTATGTAATTAAAATAAAACGAAAAAGTCCAAAAAAACCCTAATAAACTCTTATCATTTAGAATGGTTTAGTCTTTAAATTATTGTTTAAATGAAAAAACCATTAAATTTTCTCATTTTAAATGATTAAGTTTCTGAACTATTTTTTTAATGAAAAAAATCATTAAACTTTCATATTTTGAATGGTTAAGGCTCTGAATTTATTTTTGTTTTGAAATAAAAAAAAAAACTATCACACTGTTACTAGTTGATTAATGTAACCTTTTTTCAAGTTAAAAAAATGTAGATAACCAATTTTTAAAAGTGCGATGGTTTATTTATTGAAAAAATATTAAGGGACTTAATCAATCAAAAGAAGAAAGTTTAATGATTTTTTCATTTAAAAAGAGACGGTAAAGTTTTTTAAACCATACCAAAGGGCTTTTGACCTAACGGTATCCTAACCCTTGGCCTTCTAAGAGGTCAGGGGTTCAAACCTCACCATAAATGAGAAGGGTGTGTGGGTTTATTTGTTAGATTTGCCGTATATAAATATTATATATTTCAAAAGAAAAAAAAGTTTTTTAAACCATTTAAAATGGAATATTTTGTTAGGTTTACAAAGTCAATATGGTTATTAATGTGGTTGAAACTTATTTAAAACAAGTATAAAGTTGAAAGCCATACTTGAAGAATTGCCAAGTAAATTACCAAGATGCATATATAAACGGTTGATAAAAGTTTCATCCCTCGTGTTTTCATGGAACTACATATACATATACATATATATATATATATATATATATATATGCTGTTATATCGGTCAGAATACAAAATATCGGTCAGGATCGATATTCGATATATCGGTTAGAATACAAAATAGTGGTTAACATAATATTTCTTAGAATTATATATATAATATGCATTAATTAGAGTTTAGAAATATAGTTTCAAAATTAAAACATCACATCATCTAAGGTGTTCAAAAACGAGCTAATCGCAAGCAATAGGTTCAGCATCCGAATCAACATCATCCAATACATTCACTTCTTCGTTTAGGTTAGCTTCCCAATCTTCCTCCTCTTCCCCTTCAACGCCAACAGTTGATGTTGTGGCTGTAGCAACTTGGTAAGCAGAGGAGATCGAGAAGAGAGACCAAGAAAAGGAGCCAAACCGTGACTCCGTGAGAAGTCTGAAGTTGTCAGAAGTCTGAAGTCGTGATTCATGAAGTGAACTAGGTGTCTGTAAAGTGTGAAGTCGTAAAGATAAAAAGAAAAAAAGAAGACCATTGGAAGGCATACTATTAATTTCAAACCTAATATATATTACCAAGCCCAAAAAACTAAGTCCCTGAAATAACAAAAGCCCAAATAATTGAACCCTAAAAAATCGATAYATCGGTCCGATATATACATCAAAATATCGCTAAATATCGGGAAAAATCGGAAAATATCGTCAATAATATCGAGGACGATATTTTGACCGATATTTATGCAGCGATATTTTGCCTAGGTCCGATATCCGATATATCGCGATATTAACAGCATATATATATATATACACACACACACACACATAAGGGAATCAAACAAAACAAGTCAACTTATAAAAACGCGAGAACATATGTATCACGTATGATCAAGGAACGGTTAAACCTCCAACGTCTTCATATGCTTCTAGTCACATGTAATTTTTAAAATAAAATCACATGATATAAGCGTTCTTGCATTCTTATAAGTTGACCATATCCTCATTTGAATCATATATATACACATACACACACACATACGATCCTTCGCCAATATATATATATATATATATATATATATATAAAAAAAAAATTGGGTTCACGTGAGATCAGTCTGTTTTCGTGAGACCATATTTTACACTTAAAATTTCACAGTAAAACATTGTGAAAGTAAAAAAAAATCCAAACCTTCGCAGGGAAACACTATGAAGGCACTTGAAACTTCACAGTGAAAAAAATCCAAACCTTCACAGTGAAAAAAAAGTTAAGTTCCAAGTGTAAAAAAGTAGTGTAACGAAAACAGAATGGTTTGATATGATCCCAAGTCTATATATAGATAGCATGACATTCCGACTAATTTTGCGGGATTCTTGTATTAAAAAAAAAAAAGAACAGACAACAAATGCATTTTTAGATCCGTCAAAAGGTGATGCATTTTAGGGCTATTTATTCAAATGAAAAGGCATGATTACATATAGTAAAAGATAGTTTTGCAGCAGAAAATTCTGTGGCTGCATCAAGAAGCATCACAGTACCAAGTGAGTAGTGATGTAATGGGAATGGTCAAATGTATGTTTTTGTATCACATTATATACCAAAGCAAATACAACAAAATTAACCAAGTCTTTTTGGGTAGGTTAAAATTCAATTGAAACCCTAAATATGGAGGTAAAAACAATCTCTAATTACTACTTACTGCTTCTGCTTCCTCACAATTACATGTTGCTTTCTCTTGCAAAGCTGCCCGGAATTAGTTTCTTTCTTTCGCTAACCTTGGTTCGGCCCAACCCCTGAAACAAGGAAACGAGATTTTCGTCATTCCAATCCCATGTATTATCATCTTCAACACAAAAACCGTTATTTAAGACTTGCAATGAACCAAATGAAGAATAGTGCAGTTCAAACAACACAATCAAGCATGCAAGAATAGCATTTCTACTTGAGAACAAAAAAGAAACAGTGCTCTGCTCACCATCCAAACTAACTAGCCCTACTTTCACCCCCATGATGAATATTTTTACAGAACTCATTAAGTAGTAATTTCCTTCTTACTGTGACTCATGAAATACCAAGAAAATGACCAATTTCTTAAAAGAAATACATGCCTTGACATGGGGATGGTCTCAGAGGCAAAAACAAGATGCTTCACACAGCCATCAATTCAAATGCTGCATTCTGGAAGCTTAAAAAGAAGACAACAAAGAGAACTCCAAATCATGAAATGCATGATAAAAAGCAGACCACGGGAAGAAAAATGCTTCATGTATATGTAAATCTATATGAATTTGGAATTCAATCTGATCAATTTAGCAAATGAAAACAGATACAATTTTGAATTTGTATACAGAGTAAGGAAGATTACCATTAAACTTTATTAGTTTAGACATTCATGATACTTGTATACAAAATGAATTTCAGATGACTCAAAACTATGCCAATTCCACGTTGGCTAAACAAAACCTACCAAAAGCATATATGAGAACTTAAAAGGGGCATGGAGGAAATTTCAAAAGCATAATGAGACTTCCTTGAAAGTCTCTGCTTGAGTAACTTCAGTAATCACTATAAATAGTCGAATAAGTTGAGCATAAACAACAAACTTTTACCTGTAAGTGCTGCAGAATCAAGCTCCCAACAGCCTCTCAAGCTGCCATCTTTCTCCTCTGTGAAAAGAAAGGCAGGAATTTGATGAGAGAATCTGTTTAACTCTAAACGCGGTATAGCCAGAATCCTCCCTGTTGATCTCTGTATCCTTGGGGCCTTATAAACCGACTTGTAACCAGGCACACGCGACAGGGACAAAACTTTAATACTACTTACATCCGTTTCAAGAACTTCAACGATGTCAAATTCACCACCTTCCTGTCTTCTGTACAAACCCCAAATCTGTTGTTCCCTTGGATATATATTGAATATGTGATTTCCACTTGCTTCTGCCTTTACAATATGTGAAAAGGAATCTGGGTCAAGTATTTTTGGTTTACCACTGGACACTTTAAATAAACCACAAGCATTGTAACGAATAGCGTAGTTAGATGGGATGTTGCATAATTTAACTAGGGATACATGCAGTCTAGGAGGCCGAGATTCAATCTGTTTGATTTGTGCATAGCATTGACGAATTCCATCATTACGATCCCAAAATGCCCATATCTGACCTACTTGAAACTTCCAGATTTGCTTATCTGCGCTAAAGTCATGAATAACTGGCTCTAATTTTCTACATGCTGAAGGTGAAGAAATCCCAGGACTTTTTGTCAACTTTTTGGAGGTTGGGTCGATATCACCATCCTTGCAAAAGGAATTATGGCCTTTACATGGCGTGGCATCATTCATATTAACTTGTTCGTGGTTCATATGTCCTCCCTTCAATCCTCTTGGTGATCGACGAAGGTTAAGCATCTCCTTATCAAGACCATTTGTTGCTTCCGAATTCACATGCTTCTTTGGAGTGTTAGCTAAACCAGTAGCAGGTTTCACTTTTTCTTCATGAGATTGAGAATAAGGACCACTGACATTCTCAGGCTCCAAATTCACCTCGTTAGAATAATAATACGTTTCAAAGTCACCTGGCAGAGAAGCCGTATCCAGCTCAAAGGACCCAGCAGGTACACCAGCTCTTTCAGTTCCAGTCAGTTTTACTGAGGGAATACGATGAGAAAATCTAAATAGTTGAGTAAATGGGATTGTATGTTCAGCTAGTCCTTCCCAGATTGTTCTCTGAAACAAGCTTACAAACCCTTTAACTTTCAACAAGAAAGCAACAGAAACACTATTTTCATGTACAGAAAGAATTTCCACAACATCAAATTTGTATTTCCTATGGCTTTCTGGGTCCAAGCTCCATTTAATATCCCAGTCCTTGAAGAGAGCCCAAATTTCACCTTTTTGGGGATAAATGACATATGAAAATCTACCCCCACCTTTCTTATATGCTATCTGATGAGAAAACATGAGACGATCTTTTGTTTCTTCTGTGTCCCCGCGCACAAACTTCCCACAAGCAACAGGTAAGCCTTCTTCTGCCCATTTAATCTCAAGATCTTCATCTGGCTCAGCCTCCAGCCAAGTGATCCGCAGCCTAAACTCAGTTTTGTAGACTCTCCTAATCTGGGCATAGAATCTTGGCATGCTGTCAACGGAATCATAACATGCCCAGATCTGATCAACTGCAAAACAATGTTCCTCTTTATCCTTGTCAAAATTACTGAATTCCGGATCCAGACAATCTACCAACTCTGGATCTGACTTACCAGAAGAGTCTGAAACAGATTTAGAATGATTGTCGACCGTCTTAGCTTCATCTTCCTTCACTTTATGCTCATTTGCTATGCTTGCATCTGCATGTGCACATGCTTTTTGTTTGCACGCTTCCTTGCTCACATCAGCTCTTTTAAAAAATTTATCCTCAGAACCAGAGACTTCTTCTTTTTGCATTTCTTTCACATCACCGGATAAACTTTCCGGCCTTGATCTTTTTTGAGGACTTAAATCATCAGCCACGTCTTCACGGTAAGAAACTTTTTGTCTTTGGCGAGAAGATCTGCGATGAACACCACCACCAACAGGGCCAACGCCAATTCCTCCAAATGCATCTTCTACATCAGAACTACTTTCACTAGATTCTGCTACCATCTTTCTTCCTCTTTTCCTGTCTCTGTCTTTAGAGGTTCCTGTTTCCATAGGCTTCACATTAACATTTGGCTTTGTTGTGCCTTCCTTTCCAGTCTCTCGATGTATATGACCGTGTTTCATTCTTGCTCTTGAACTATCACCAACTTCAGTGTCTTTAGTTTTTGTATGTTGCGCAAAATGAGAAGGAAACTGTCCTTCCTTTTGTATATTAATTTTGACCTTTTCGCGTCTTCCAACGTCTTTCTGTTGAAAAAAGGGTGGTTCAGCCCTGTTGGATCCTAGATTTGCACTGTGCATCTCAGTATGCACAAAACGGGGTCCAGGGGCTGCCTTTTGTGCACCTATGTCATAAGCAATGAAGAGTTTCGAGCAATGCTGGCAACGCAAAGGTCTGTTTACAAAGTCTATATAATACTCGTACTTGATGTTACAAAAAGGGCAATATGTCCAGAATGATGGCCGAATACCCGTGTGTGATGTTGATTGGTTGCCATGGCCATTGAACTGAGAACCTGGAACATCATTGACTTTATTCTGAACCCCAAACTGTGTTCTAGCATAAGAACTTTGATTTCCTTGACGATTTTGAAGCTTCGTAACAGAAGCTCTCGCAGGCTCTCGACACTTGAAGTCATATATAGACCTTTTTCCTTTATCTGAGAGTATCATATTTGCTTCACCAATAAGTTTGAAAGCAGCTTCGGCACCAGGAAATTTGTTCTTGTCAGGGTGAAGTACAAGTGCAAGTTTCCGATATTGCTTCCGAATGGTTGCCTCGTCAGCTATTTTTTCAACTTGAAGGATTCCATATAGGTCCTTTTCAGCACCATATATCTTTCTTTGAGCAGAACAATGAACAGCACAAACTGCTATTACCTGGGAAATATTATCTAGTTCAGGGAATAGTTGTCTGGCCTTCAATGCAATCTTCTGAGCCCCTTCAAAATCATTCTTCAGCATCTTCTCTTCTGCAAGTTGTTTGGCCCTAAGAGCCTCATCTCTGTTGCACTCCATTGCCGCAATGACTTAAGAATGTAAACTACTCAGAATGTCTCAGTTATTCTACGGTTTCTCATGTTTAACTGGTGATTTATAAAGAAATAACAAGGCAACAATGCTCCTCCCCAGAGTTCACTTCAAACCCAATCTGGAAACACAAAAAAGTGATGATTCAATAACCGTTTACTCGTTCAAACTAACAAATAATTAAAAGTACTGTATCACTTAATTGTAGGAGAATATCCCACTATTAGCAATTTCTACCTGACAGCTTCTGATAAGCAGAAATTAATATATCAGCAAGTGGGAATCAGATGATTTGTCCTCCGTAATTGACAATTAGGGGCACTACCCTGAAGTATCCCACAACAACCAAGTTATTAGATGGCAGTATACAATTCCAATTTGCAACTAAATCTCTGAGAATTTATGCATGTGTGTACATGTTTGAATATAAGATCATATCTAAAATAAGTATTGCATGTTCCATCTTACTATGCCATGTACTATTACTGCTATAAAAAGAGTTACATGGGGTGGGAAACCACAAATGCATGTCTACCCAAAAAAGGTCTTGTACAGGATAGCCCATGAAGATGCTTTAACCACAAGGGTTGTGGCGTAGTGGTTGAGGTCTTGGGGGATGTGGTGGAATGTCCCATCTGCCCAGGGTTTGATTCCAGGCATACACAATAATTGTGGCCACTGAGTTTATCAGGGCTGATTTCTGTAGTCATAATTTTCCGAGATTAGTGAAGGCATAGCCTGGGACACCCTTCCAAAAAAAAGATGCTTTACATGGGACCAGAAACAAGATTCCTCATTATTTTGAACTATTATGTTTTCCCTTTAACGTCTACACTTTCCCTCCATTTCCACTCAGTAGCTTTGGTGGCTATTCAACCATGTTTTATAATTTCTCAACTGCAGACAGCATTGAGAACAAACTCATGCTACGGTCTCCAAAACAACTTTCTTCCCTTTTCTATATATACAGAACTTTTGTTTTCACATAACCAAGATTAGTCATGTGTTACTTAAAAGGAGAATACAACACTAAAATTTATTAAATATAATCATAACATGGATATGGTACACAAATGTGCTGGTTACCCAACAAGAAAACGCCTCATCATCGGTTGCAACTTCTCAACTATGGCAATTTAAAATTCTATATATTAATTTTCATCATAATTCACATGATTCAATCAAATATCTTTCTATAAGTGAACTAAATCACAAGATGGATATGTACACAGATGTTGCTGGTCACCAATCTGATAGAACTCATCATGACTTATAACTTCTCAACTATAAGTCTATAAGAATAAATTTATTATAAATTTTATATGTTGATTTCCATCACATAATTCAATCAAATATCCTTCTATAGTAATCTGGAGGGATTAGTCCCATACAAGAAAAACAATTACTATCACTTTAAAATTGCATCTTGGCCTAAAATTGCAACTCTAAAAAATGCAATAGACATTATGAGCTTTATGCATGTACCATAGCCACTCAAGAATTCAATCAAAATAGACACTTTTAACTCGATGGCATAGTAACACTATGAAGTCATAGTAAAAAGTAGGTCATAAATTCAAACAGCATGAAATGACAATTTGTTACAATTATACAAATACTCAAATAGATGTCTCAATAGAGTAATAAATTCTGTCACAATTAAAAACAAGCATTTTATCCCAAACAATTGGGTAACCTGAAAATGAACCATAAGTAACTGATGAACACTGAAACCATAAAGGACAAGGTAAACCCCTTGTATTCCACAAGAACGGGGTCCTTCCACCCATCCCTATTAAAAGCCAACTCTTTTGGTAATATTCTACTCGCTGCAATTATCTCTTCATTACTCCCCTACTCGTCCTCTACATCCCCTCAAGGACATCCTCTTGGTAAAAGTCTCTTACAACCCATCCATCCAAAAGGTATACATTAAAGATGACCAAACCACCTCAACAATGCCTTTTCCTTAACTATTGCCACACCAACTTTCCCCCATACAACATTGTTTCCAATCCTATGCATCATTATGTGGTCAAACCTCCAACTGGGCAATCACATTTCTGCCACACTACTCTTGCATATATACTATGGCCTGGTTAATTGTAGTAAATACTTTTGTCGTGCTATAAAACTTGACTTATAGAATTCAATGGAACTTTAAATCACACAGGAATCTGAAAGCTTGTCAACATTCCATCCTCATCAAATCCTATGTTCTTTTTGTAAAACTATCCCAATCACTACCCCCAAAGTTGCACTCGATATAATTTTGTTTCAGTCTGACTTATTTCTGTGATGGCCTCACTACATAAATCCATAAAGCTGTAGAATAGCATTTGAGGGAACCTCAAATGACACAAGAGTGCCAAAAACTGTAAGCATTTAAATTTTCACCCAGCCAGCTCATATCATGTGCGACTACCATCCTCGTCAAATCCTCCATGTGTTTTGTAAAACTGTCCCTTTCACTAGCACCAAAATTGCACTCAAATACACTTCTGTTTTATTCCGACTTCGGGGCCGTTTACCAAATGCTTACCGGGTAAGCGATTACCGGCAAGAGTCACCAACCTCACTTACCTTATCAAGTAAAATTCCAGGCCATCAAAATGGATTGTTGGTAAGCATCTATCTCACAGAAAGCTCTTACCGGGTAAGAGTCCCCACCCTCACTTACCGGGTAAGACTCCCAGTCCTTCACTTGGCTCTTTATGGGTAAGATTCTCGGTCTTTGCTATGCTCACCTGATTCTAACCTGGTACGTGTAACATCCCCTTAATATCACACCTCTGCATTTTAAGGTAGTTCTTCAAACCACAATTTCACATTAACACATTGCTTGATCTCATCAATCAACATTATATCAATGACAACAAACATACCATGGCACATCACATTCTAGGACTTGCAGAGCAGAATGATAACGATTCAAGGTTTGCAAAGTAATTCATTATTAGACTGAAACATTCATTATTTTCAATAAACTAGAAGTGTTATACAATCATAATTGAACGACAATATAAATTTTATCTGCTTTGATGTATTAAGAACGCTTCTATTCCATGAGTGGCAGATGGATTTAGATAAATGAGGTTCAAGTTATATAATAAGTAAAGCAATAAATAGGTTTCAAGTGGAAAGAAAAACAATTATTTGGCTCATCGTTAATGAACACGGTTGACAGGGTATCATATCCCCAAAACTTAAATGTCACATATATGAACAATTGAGCAAACTTCAAGCATAATAAGAATAAAATTCGTCATCACCCATCAAAAACCAATTCTACCAGGTTGGATTAAAACTCCAAGCAAACAGAATCAATCACCTCCATCGATAACGGATTAGCGACTTCGCCCAATATTTTAAGCACAAATAACACAACATAAACCCCACTTGTAAAAATTGGAAGTTCATAAAATTCAAACAAAATGTAGAGAATTTCCCGAGCACCAACCAAAATAATAGAAAAACCCTAAAATGAAGTAAACACAAAACCCCAAATTTTGAATGCAAGAAGACGAAATTGAGCAATAACATACCGGAAAAAAGAAGGTGTAAAAAGCATGTGTGCAAATACATAGAAGCAGCCTTCATACACCATGATTCACATTACCATAGAAGAAGCAGAAGATGAAAAATGAATCAAAAAAGGGAGAAAAGCAGAACTTACAGAGTGAGGGTTTGATCGAGTGAGAGTAGAGGAGCAAGCGGGAAGAAGAAAACTGAAAAATTGAGAATGAATTTGGCTCCGAAATATTTTCGTTTCTCCCCCCAGATTGTTGCGTTTTTCATCGGAAATTGGGCGCGGTTAGGGTTTTCCAGCTGTGGTACGCCATAAAAAATCAAATTTTGCAAAATTGGTTGAAAAACAAACTTATAAACAATAAATTACCGATGATGCGTTATATTATTTTTTTATAGAAATTTATTATTAACCAGAAAAGTATTTGTATAATACAACAAGATATATCTCGAGTATTTTGTTTTTATTTTTTTTTTGTCACAGTCGATGTTATAATACGGTTTTATGTGGTTTTTAGAAAATGATAGTATTTTTATTTTTAAATAAAATATAAATATATAATAAATAATTAAAAAAAATATTGATATTAGTAGTAAACTAACTATTTAAAATTTCTTCCTTTTTATAAATTATTTAATTTTTTTTAATAATATAATTATTAAAAATAATAATTAAGTATTTTATTAAAATTTAATTATTATCTTAATTATATTTTAATTTTTTTTATATTTAAAATAATATGTTTATCATTTATTGATTCTTATTATCTACAGTTTAATTACACGAATTCAAAAATAAAACTTTAATAAGTTGTATTGTTAATTAATGCATAATACTTAAAACTCAATATTACAAATATATTATGCGTAAGTACAACTTATTAAAACTCCATATATGAATTCGTGTAACTAATTGCAGATAAACATAATCAAATACAAAATAAACATCTCATTTTAAAAATAAAAAATCTAAATATAATTAGGATAATCATTGAGTCCTAACAGAATACTTAATTATTATCTTTATAAAATTTTATATTATTAAACCAAAAATAAATTATTTCATTATTAAACTTAAATTAAATTATAATAAAAATAAATTAAAGAAATTACATAAAAAAGTGAGAACTTTTAGATAGTTGATTTGATAATAGCATTGATATACATTTTTTAAATAAAAATGATATCTTCAAATTTATATTTTATTCAAAAATAAAAATTTTTTTTTTTTTTTAAACATATAAAATCGTATTATGACGTCGACAGAGACAAAAAATAAAATAAAACATTAAAATCAAAAAATAAAATATGAGTTCTAATTTATAAGGTGTATGATTAGGGATGAATATGTTTGGTATTGTTAAATTGTGGTTAATACATTAATAAAGTAAAAGATTGATGTATGAGATAATAATAATAAAAAAGTATTCGAGCTTCATAGTTATGTAGCACACCAAGTGTTTGATGAAATGTTTAAGTGAGATTGTATGTATAAGTTTCCGTCAGTTTATTCAAAAATTCGTAGGAAATCAACCGTTTATCCAAATGAGGGGTATGATATACCATTGAAAAGATAAATGTCCTCTAAAACTGTTATGAAGAGGATATTTTTAATTATGTGTTTAGGTCTGCTGATATACTGAGTTTTTGATTCTGCTCACATTTATTATGAAATCTGCACACTGTTTTTGTAAATGTTGTACCGAACTGCTCGTATCTCTGAATTGCATGAATCCAGTTTATATAGAATCCTAAGGTATCAATATACAACTTTTATTTAGATGATAACGTCCAATTTGGCTTCTAAAAAGGAGATATATATTGTAACTTAAGGCATATCCTTCTCCAACTGTCGATACTGGAAGTTCAATGGAATCCAAAGTTACTAAACTGGACTTTGGAGATCCATTGTACTTACATCCCAGTGATACTAGTGGAGCTCCTCTGTTATCTTTCAAGTTAAGTGGTACTGAAAATTACAGGGTCTGGTCTTGTGCTATGACCTTGGCCTTGTAAACCAAAAATAAAATTGGGTTTATTGACGGATCTTGTCTTTGTCCAATAAATGATCTTGTCTTAGAAAGATAATGGGATCATTGTAACTCAGTTGTGCCTTCTTGGATTATGAGTTCTATGATTGAGGATCTCTTTTTAGGACAAGTGTTCTCTAAATAGTCCTCCAAAGTTTGGTATAAGTTAAAAGAAACTAATGATAAAGTAGATGGGTCAGTTACTTTTAATCTTCATCAGAAAGTTAATTCTCTAAGTCAAAGTGGCACATTTGTTTCTGAATATTACCACAAACTTAATTTCTTATGGAAACAGTTTGATGCTCTTGTTAAACTTCCATCATGCACTTGCAATGCTTCTCACGATTCTTTTGAACACAACCAACTTATTAAACTCATGCAGTTCCTAATGGGACTTGATGATGTTTATCAACCCATTAGAACCAACATTCTTACTAGGGATCCCTTTCCTTCTGTTAAAATTGCCTTCTATCTTGTTTCAAGAGAGGAATCTGACAAGGGGGAAACTCATCTTAAACCCGCATTGAGCCACAACATTATGCCTTTTAAGGTATAACTATTGACAATAAAAAGAAATTATGTTGAACCTCCACTCTTGTATGTAAGCTTTGTGGCATCACTGGACATACCATTGAAAGGTGTTTTAAACTCATAGGGTTTCTAAAAGACTTTCAAAATCGACCAAGACTACATAGTCAAAACTTTAAGCCCTCAGCCAGTAATGCTTGTGTCTCTGAATCTCGCTCTCGTAAGTCATCTGGATCTATTTCATCCTTCCCATTTTCTAAGGAACAGGTTGCTAAAATTCTTGGGCTAATAGATCAGAAACACACATCTGAAGGGGCAAGTGCCAATATGGCAGGTATGTTCAAATCTTCTCAATCATGTTGGATAATTGATTTTGGTGCCAACCAACACATGGCGTCCAACACTCTTAATCTTGATAATGTGGTGGATGTGTCTGATTAAAAAACCTTAGGGTGAGTCACCCTAATGGAACAAAGACAAGAATAAACAAAATAATGCTACCCTCTTTGATGTGTTGGTTGTTCCTGATTTCAATGTAAACATGTTATCTGTGCATAAACTAGCTAGAGATAATAAAGTTTTTATAGGTTTGATGAGTCAAAATGTTATGTTCAGGATTTTCTTCGAAAGAGTGTTGTGGGGATTGTTAGTCAGGAAGGTGGATTATATTTATTTGATGAAAATCTTAACAGTAAGTCATCTTTTCCTTCTAATAATCTTGGCATGACTTATTTTGCGTTTGCCCAACTACGGCAAAGTCGTCTTGGTCACCCAACTGACCAAGTTTTAGAGGTTTTAAAAAATCATCTTAAAATTGGAAATGAAATATGTGGTCCCTATGAAGTTTTTCATAAGGCAAAACAAACACGGGAGAAATTCGATTTAAGTATTCACAAGTCCAAAAGTCTTGGTGAATTAGTTCATTTGGATGCTTAGGGTCCCTATCATGTTCAAAGTAAGGAAGGCTGTAATACTTCCTCACTATTACAAATGACTTTACTCAAGTTGTTTGGGTTTACCTTTTGAAAGGGAAACATGAAGTTGGTGATAATGTTAAAAAATTTACTACCTGCTTTACACCCAATTTGGAAAATCTGTTAAAATATTTAAAAGTGATAATGGTTCTAAGTTTACAAATCAAAAGTTAAGTGAATTTTTTAAAAGAAAAGGGGTCATATATCAAACATCTTGTGTTTATACTCCCCAACATAATGAGGTTGTTGAATGAAAGCACCGTCATTTACTTAATGTAGCTAGGGCTCTTATGTTTCAGGGAAGGGTTCCGTTGAACATGTGGAGTGAGTGCATTCTCACATCTACATATCTGATAAATAGGACACCTTCATCTGTTTTGAATGGTAAGTGCTTGTATGAGCTTGTTTATGAATTCCAACCTGTCCTTACCCATCTTTGAAGTTTTGGATGTTTGTGCTTTGCTTTTTTACCTAACATTATAGATAAATTTTCTTCTAGATTTGAAACATGTATTTTATTGGGATATGCAAATTCAAAAAAGGGACACAGACTCTATATTTTGGATTCAAACAAAATCACATTCTCTCGTGATGTTAAGTTTTATGAAAATGTTTTTCCCTTCAAGATGAGCATCGACATGTTAGATGAGTCTAGTATTGATGGTGTTAATAGTTTAAATTTCTTTGATTTTGTGTTTCATTCATCTTATGACTTTGTTGATTCACCACCCAATGATGAGGATGAAGACCATTTGAATGATGAGGATTCTCATCAGCTATTCTCTGCCCTTAGTGACCCTAATTTACTTGGTAGCACAACTAGAGCTGCCAATAGGCAACCTCTAGGCAGCTCTAATGATCCAATTGATCAAGGTTCCTCTCAAAGAAATGACCTTGATAGAGTTACCAGTTGGCAACCTTTGATTAGCTATGAAGTAGCTGCAAGTACTCAATGTGATGTTGAAACGCAGTCTGAAGAAAATAGTATAGGTAACACTAAAACTCAATCCTTAGGTCTCATCTCTGAGGGTACTCAAGTTTTAACTTCATCTTCAACTCAGTCTGCTAGAATATCCACTAGGGTGTCTAGTTTTCCTCGAAAAATTGATGATTGATGAAGGAAAAGTAAAATATGGGTTGGAAAGAGTTGTGAATTATTCTCATCTTTCTTCAGAAATTTTTTGTTTTGTTTCAAGTCTAAATAAGTTTGTTGAACCTAAAACTTTTCAATAGGCTTGTAGTGATATTAATTGGATAAATGCCATAAATGATGAAATGGAAGCTTTACAAAGAAATGGAACTTGGTTCATTACTAAATTACCCCATGGTAGAAAAGCTATAGGCTATAAATGGATCTATAAGATTAAGTATAAATCCAATGGAGAGATACAAAGATATAAATCTAGGCTTGTTGCTAAGGGGTATAGTCAAAGAGAAGGACTTGACTATGAAGAAACTTTTTCTCATGTTGTTAAAATGGTTACTGTGAGGTGCATTATAGCTTTACCTGTTCAATTTAAGTGGAATTTGTATCAATTAGATGTTAATAATGCTTTCTTATATGAAGATTTAATTGAAGATGTTTATATGACTTTACTTGAGGGTTATTATAATCCAGGGGATAAACGTGTATGCAAACTTGTTAAATCTCTGTATGGTTTAAAGCAAGTTCATCGTCAATGGTATGCTAAATTTTCTTCTTGTTTGATTGATCATGGTTTTGTTCAAAGTATTACTGGTTATTTTTTGTTTACTAAAAGAATTGGATCTGTTTTTCTTGTCTTATTAGTTTATGTAGATGATATTGTTATAACTGAAAATAAACAGACTGAAATAAACAAAGTTAAGGATTACTTAAAAAGTAAATTCCTTATTAAAGACGTGGGAAAATTAAAGTTCTTTTTAAGAATTGAAATTTTAGATTGTATTGATGGGGTCTGTATGTCTCAAAGAAATATTGTCTAGAATTGTTAAATGACTTTGGATATTTAGGATGTAAACCTTGTTGTACACATGGATATGAACGTAGTTGTAACTGATTCTAATAATTCTAAAGACCCCCCTTTAACTGATTGTACGAGTTATCAAAAATTAATTGGAAGATTGATTTATCTTCTAGCTACTCGACTAGATATTGCCTTTGTTGTTCATTGTCTCAGTCAGTTTATGTATTCTCCTAGACAATCTCATTTGAATCTTATTCCTAGAATTCTCAGGTATTTGAAGTTTTCTCTTGGTATAGGAGTTAGTTTTACAAGGTCTGAATTTTTTTGTTTCAATGCTTATGTAAACGCTGACTGAGGTAAGTGTCTTTCTTCAAGACGTGTTTATTTCTTGGTAATTCTATGATTTCCTGGAAAAGTAAGAAACAAAGTATTGTTTCTCGCTCATCTGCAGAATCTGAGTATTAAGCCATGACTTCAACTACTTATGAAGTTGTTTAGGTTGTCAAAATATTATCTAATTTAAATATAAAAGACTTGCTTCTTATAAATCTATTTTATGATAACAAGTCTGCCATTCAAATTGCCAATAATCCTGTCTTTCATGAACATACTAAAAATATTAAAATTGATATTCATCAAATTAGGAAGAAAAAAAAAATTAGTAACAGAGCGTTAAAAGTTGTAAAATTTATTTATTCTGAGCAACCTTCCGATATTTTAACAAAAGCCCTTGGAGTTAATCATCATAATTACTTATGTTTAAATTTAAGAATGATTGATCTATTCAAGAGTCAAGATTGAGAACGGGTGTTAAAACATATTATATGTTGTCAATCTTGACTGTTGTCCCTTCTTTATCAGGATTATTGTTGATAAGGATTACAGTTGAAACATATTTGGTTTTAATTTTTTTAACATAATTCCAAAATGTCTCCTATTTTAGGGTGTTATAGGATGGGTTTTCTTCGAGTTTGTTAGGCGTGGTTGATTTTTCTTCACTTTTGGGAGCTCGTGATGTTTCTTGTCGTTCTTCAATTTTTTTTTTCTCCTTGTAGTCCGTTTAGCTCTTGTTACGGTTAGGTTTCTATGTCTTACAAAAACCTTTCCCTCTTCTTTTCTTCTTGCAGTCTATGCATTTTGTAAGAGGTTGTTTGTTTACCTCTTAATAGTTCTATGAAAAGGCAACAGAGGTGAATCTTGTTTGGCAAAATAAAAAGTCTGCCTCTTAATGGTTCTAAAACTCTCTGAATGAGAGCCCTACTTTCATTGTACACAATTACCAAACAATTATATTTCATTTTACACTATAGCATGAAAGTCTCTTAAGCATTATGCATCAAGCCATTCCGCAATTACCAAACAGCCCATAATCAACTGATGGTTTAAAAAAAGATTAATAACTATTTTTCAATAGAAAATTAATTATTAAAAAAATTATAGATATTTTTTAGTTCAAGAGTTATATCATGTTTTCTCTGGTTGTTACATTACATCTTATCTATAATATATTAAAGCATTTGATAAAAATTCTTAAAAATCATTTTTTATGCATGAAATATTGTTTATTGATGCATATTACTTAAAATTCAATATTACAAATAATTTTGCGTAAATACAACTTATTAAAGCTCAATTTTTAAATTCATGTAACTAACTGCAAATAAAATAATCAAATATAAGATAAACATTCATTCTAAATATAAAAAATCTAAAATATAATTAAGATAATCATTAGATTCTAACAGAATGTTTAATTATTATTTTATAAAAAATTATATTATTAAACCAAAAATAAATTACTTTGTTATTAAATCTAAATTAAATTATAATAAAAAATTGAATTAAAAAACTTACAAAAAAAACAAGAACTATTAAATAGTTAATTTAATACTATTATCTATTTATTTTTTACAAATTTTTATGTTATCTTCAAATTTACATTTTAATTTAAAAATAAAAACATTACCGTTTTCTTAAAACCACATAAAATTATATTATATCTAAAAACTAAACATTAAAATCAAGATTTATCTCGCTACATTGCACGAGTATCCTTCTAGTCTTAATTAATATAAAATAGAGAATATATATAAAATTGAGTTTTAAAAATAAGAAGAAAAGAGAGGTAAATTATACAAAGTTTGGCAGTGGCTTCATATCTCTACTCCTCACGTACGTCAAGAATTGCCCTGGTAACTCTTCCAATAGTCCCTGCACCATCGATATCTCTCCACCTACAATGTACATACTTTTCAATTATGCCCCCACTAATTTTCAACAATATTGTTTTTTTTTTATTAACCTGTATATCCAACCCGTTATGCGAGCCGATTAATCCCAGGACGACCACCTGCTTTGCAGATAGCCCGGAGCTACCGCATTTGAACCTCCATGGCCACAAGGGGATTTTTATTCCTCCTTGGATTTGTACCTGAGACCTCCTGGTACTTTTGATCTTTGGAGTCAGGCTTAAACCAATCAGGCACCACCCTTATGGTTAACAATATTGTTTTGCACAGTGTCATCTAGTTTTTCAGCTAACTGCTACCTTATCATCCAATTAACGTAACTGCTACCTTATCATCCAATTAACGTATAAGCCAGTTTGCTAAATATAGCTTTAGTGAAACAGCTTAATTCCAATAAGAAATTGCATATGAATGAGTACTTACGATGTACATCACGCATGGGAACAAACTGAACATTATCTCGAGTAGCGACTCTTCCTGTTGAGCTCTCCAACCGTTGTCCGTTATCACCATCCAAAATCTGCAAATAAGTAGTGCTGGTGTATAATACAAATCAAGCTCCATGTCCTATGGTACTACTTTGGGGTACGTTTGGTATGCAACACAAGACCAATTACAAGTTGTCCCACATTTGGTGCGATATAATACTGGTACAGGACAGCACAGAACAGGGCTGAGTGGGACAAAAATGCATTTTTTTTGTCCACCAAAATAACAACAAAGGTGGTGCCTGATTGGTTTGAGCTTGACTCCAAAGGTCAAAAGTACCAGGAGGTCCCAGGTTCAAATCCAAGGAGGAATAAAAATCCTCTTGTGGCCACGGAGGTTCAAATGCGATGACTCCGGGCTATCTGCAAAGCAGGTGGTCGCCCTCGGATTAGTCGGCTCGCATAGCGGGTTGGATATCCAGGTTAATCAAAAAAAAAAATTCAAGGACTTGGTATAAGATTGGTGGTAAACTACCCATATCAAATTAAAACCCTAAAACCTTCCACAAATTTTCACCCTCGCCCGTCCAGTCCTATCTGTATAACAAACGCATATTAACTGATTCACGATTACCATGAAAGAATGATAGGTACATATCTAAACAACAGGAATCTAACTTTCATCGGTAGGACTTTCAACCAAGGGAAAGGGTATTTACCTCCATTGTTTTAAAATCAGCATTACCCACTCCAACAATTAGAATTGAGAGGGGTAGATCAGAGGCCCTGACCAATGCGTCTTTAGTTTCTTGGAGATCAGAAAGAACTCCGTCCTAAAAATATGGTAAAATCTATGAACTTTCTACAAAGGTTTATATGACAATGCTACAGGGTTGGGTTTTGGTGAGAAGGAGAGTTAAAGTGAGAAGCGTAAGAAGGGATCTCCACTCTTGGATGCACAATTAGGATGAGATGCACCAGATCAATCCCCATACAAACGTGATTCATTGGTGGATTTGAGATTAAAGGTGATCAAAGGTCCAGATCCCATCTTACGCTTCTCAACTTAACTCTCTTTCTCACACGATCCTTCGCCTATATATATAATTGTTTTGCTAAGTGTTTACCGTTATAATAAGCAACACAAAGTACTTGTTGGAATTTTGTGAGAGGGACTGAGCGGCTATTTCTGCAGCCTGATTGACTATTTGACCAAATAAAGTAGGTCCATGAAGAGAGACGGTATGCAAGGCACTTTGATAAGCAGCCATTATGCCTTGTACGCCTTCAACCTGCAAATTACAGGGGGGAAAACAGGGTTAGTTTTGGTACCATTGAATGTACTTCATAGTTCTTGGAATTTAGCTGCATTTTAACAAGTTCTACATCATGTGTCAAACTTCCTATGGAATCACTCTGTAATTGCTGCTTCACATCATCAATCACTACAAGACCATTTTCCTAATAAAATTATTCACCAACTTATATTTTCTTTTGGATTCTTCCCCGTTATATTTCTATCAGGTTTTATTATCAGCATATCCGGCTATTTTGGAATAAAAGGTTTTTTTGAGATGGATGTTCTTTTAACTATACTATATTATAAAGCATTTGATAAAAACTCTTAAAAACCATATTTATGCATGTAGTACTGTTTATTGATACATATTACTTAAAATTCAAGATTAGATTGTGCGTAAGTACAACTTATTAAAGCTACATGTTTGAACTCGTGTAACTAACTGTAGATAAACATAATCAAATACAGGATAAACATCTCATTTTAAATATAAAATACCTAAAATATAATTAGGATAATCATTAAGTTCTAACAGAATACTTAATTATTATCTTTATAAAAAATTATAGTATTAAACAAAAAATAGATCACTTCATTATTAAACTTAAATTAAATTATAATAAAAAATTGAATTAATAAAATTACACAAAAAAAAAAAGAACTATTAAATAGTTAACTTGATACTAATATCGATACAATTTTTTCAAATTTTTATGATATCTTCAAATTTATATTTTATTCAACAATAAAAACATTATCACTTTCTGAAAATCACGTATTATATCGACAGAGACAAAGAATAAAATGAAACATTAAAATCGAGATGTATCTCACTGCATTACGTGAGTACCCTTCTAGTTATCATCAAAAACAATAGAAGCAAGAATTTATGGTTGAGAAAAGAGAAACAAAAAGATGTAAAAAAGACATGATCATACCCCTAGACCCGTAAAATGTTGCTAATCAGTAATCACCAAGCACTACTGCATTATCTATGCTTCCAGAATTCTGTTTAGCTTGACGTAATCTTGTCCTAATCAGCGGATATGTATTGAAGCATAAAACGAGATGGTAAAATTGAGTTTGAATTGAGTGATTGTATATTACTAACAATGGGGTATGCCACCTTTTGCATCCCTACAACCATGAAAAGAGGATTGTACCTCAAAGCTGCCAGCGTCTCCATTCAGGTTGAAACAATGAGATACAGGGCCATTATACATTCTCCCACCAAATCCCCAAGCAGGAAAGCGTTTGTCAGAATCATAAAATTGTATGACTTCCCCAACTTCCATGATTGCCTGTAATGGAAATACATGACTATATTACCAAATTTAAACCAGATGGATATTCGCTAGTTCTATTTTGTAACATAATAATGCAAGTAGAACAAGATTCAGGGAGCGATAAGAAGAGTCCTTGATGCAACTATCATTCAACATGATCTGCATCGTAATAGACCCTTGCACTCGATTTTTGTAAAGAGAAGGATTAGTGCAGTAGACATTCAGAACCAGAAAAAAAAAGGTGGTAACCACCTCACCTGCTGGTATGCATTGAAACAGCCAGAAGGATCAATATAATGTAATGAATCTGGCTTTTGAGGATCTCCGTTTGAAGCTGTACAAAATTGGAAGTTGCAAGCATCAATCATACAGGTCACCAAGTAGATAGTTCATTTGAACATGATTAATTTAGAGGCATGCTTACCAGTAAAATCAACAGCAACCATGAAGTTCAGCTCAAACCCACTAGAGACGTAATCAAGAAAGCTATAGAGTTCCTTCTCATCAAATCCATCCACAAAAAGTTTACCCTTCAGAATCTATAAGATGTAAGCAGAAGATGTGTTCACTCATGATAAAATGTATTTTTTAGTTTTAATTCTTCATTAAGTACAGCCAGTTTCTCATTTCTCTTGGTCAAATCATTATCCACCATCTTCTCTTTCTCATTTAATTTTTTAAGATAAATGCAGGAGTGCTAAGTCACCCTTTGGAAATTGTAGCACACCAAAAGGACATAACCTACCTTCTCATGATCTCGGTGACGAGAAGATGGAATGACAAAATTTGCACCTGTTTTTTCTTGGTAAAGTTTTTCCAAGACTCCAATCGATGTCTGCTGTTTACTGTCAAAAATAAAAGCTTCAACACTTATTCCTCTATGGTTTCAAAATCAACAAGCATTTTATCCCAAACTAGTTAGCATAGGCTAAACATGAAACCCAATAGAAATGGTTTAGAGGTAAAACTCAGTAGGCCCCAACAGATAGTATTAATTGAAATGCTCCTATATAAAGGTGAAATGTTCTGGTATATTTCACTTATTCATATCGCCTATGAATACTTCCACCTGCTTCAAAAGATCTCTACTTCTTGGTACAAGTCTCACACTTAAACCAGTGTATCCAAAGGTATGCATTAGATGACGAAACTAGTGCATCTTGGTACAAGTAACTCTCAACCTCTCCTCAACTGGCATGCCCTAACCTTCTGATAAACTTTCCATCAGATTCACATACATCTGGAATAATCTTAAGGGGTATGGGGGAATAAATATTTTAGTAATGGTATCCTGGGGTATTTCTGTTATTTCTATTTTCTTTTTAGCTGAGGTAATATTTCTATTAGCATCTTGAGACCATGGTGAATCATAATTGGTTATTTGCCTTCCAGTAATAACATAAATAGTAGAGGGTAATAACATAAATAGTAGAGGGTGAGTATGGGGGAGGGCATCCGTTTTGGTAATCCGGCCTGAGCCAATCTTGGGAGAAAACCAGCTCCTCAAATTGCTGGGGCATTATAATCATTCGATTAATAGTGAAAGTAATCAGTAAATACCTTGTTGTTAATCACCTTCTCCTGAATATAATCACTTCTAACTCTATTCCTCATTGTCTGGTCGGACTTCATCCTTAGCAGTCGCATTCTACTACATTTATCTTATGTGCATGTAGTCTGGGGGTCCAACATTCTGTGTTCTATACTCCTATATCCTCCCATTCTCTTTTAATTGCTAATATCCTCATCAATACGTCCATCCTTCAATCTAAAATAAGAAAAATACAAAGTATTGTCTAATTACTCCAACCTGATTATTGAATATTCTACTTGATTATGCATATATAACAAGTTGCACCCCAGCTTCAGTTTTTTAGCCTGGCATGCTCTACAAGATTTGGATTAACATATTGCATAGTCTCACGGACCAGTTGCCATAATATGATAACCGTAAGGCGTAAAGCATACATACATCATCGTGTATATCCTTTACAAGCGCATCCATAACAAAAGCAAAAAAAGGACTCGACACTAAACACTGTTTCATCCCTATGGTAATACAAAAAGCATGTTTCTCATTGACAATGTTTGACACTTGCCTTCCTCTGCTGCCCCGGGAGAGTGAGTTTGTATGCATAGCCAACAAATGAAAAGAAGCAAGGATCCTTTGTTTTGGAGGTTCTTTCAGAGACGAGACCTTACACTTCGCAGATAGGATGGTTGCCATCGTATATATCCTTGATCACATTTACATACAGGATTTGTTCTTCTCAAGACCTCCCCACATCATTCCTTGCCACCATTTTATTTGCCTCCTCAAGATCAACTAACACCATATGGAACTCCTCCCCATGTCCCTTATCTCTCCATCAGTCAATTTGTTCAATAAAAAGCCTCTGTTTCCCTTATTTAAAAAGCATCTTCAGCTAACATAAAACAAAATGATTTACACACCCCTTGGTCTCAAAACTCTAGATATGCTCAATAACCCTCTGCACTAATTTAATTGTATGGCTTATAAACTTGAATTCGTACAACTTTGAGTATCCCTTTGTTCTTGTAGATTGCAAGCAAGGTCTCATTTCTCTGTTCAGACATCCTCTTTCTTTAAGAATAATAACCAAGGGAAGCATAGTACTACCTCCTTAAGGGCTAACCAACTCTCCACAAGAATGCCGTGGTGCCTAAAACATTGCCTACTTTCATCTTTTAAGAACTTTTGTCACCCCTAACACAAATTCTATGTACAAAACTCCACAAGTATCATTAAATACTAATTGAGTTCTCCTACCCTCCCTTCGTTATCTCAATTAAACAACCTATGAAACTAACCCCTTCATTCTTTTTTAATCTCCATCGTATTTGATCACCAGTTTTTCAGTTTTTAACCTTGATGCATTAAGGCAACTTCGGCTCCGATTTTCCTTCCGTTTAGCCTAGCCAACGTGTGTGCATCATTTCCCACCTCTTTTGTTGGTTTTTCTGACAACTCCCAGCATGCCTTGACTCAACTTTTCGTATTGCGTCTTTTTCCCATTTACACACTTTTCTGTTGGTTGAAACTCTCACAACCACGTAAAACTTTCTAGCAACCAATCTTCTTAATAGCCTTCTGAATTTCCCCGTGAATTTGTCATATCTTTTCACATCCCATTAGCTTCCCTTCAATATACTATGTCCCTTCTTTAACCATTCAAAGATTAAACCTATTCAGGTAAACTCATTTCAGGTTCCACCACCTAGTTCTAGTGTGTTTAAGACCCTCAATCGGTCTAACACCATGTCTAATGGAATGTCTGCCACTAAAGCCACTGCACATGAATTTACTATTAATGCTTTATACTTAATTCCCTTTCCCAGTGGAGAGAAAGTCTACTACAGTGATGTCATACCTAAAGGAGGCACATTTCCTAAGAAGGTGTCTGCAACTAGAAAATCATATTGCATTCTTGTGTTTAATGTCATACCCAAAACCTCTTGCTTTTAAAGCCTCTACTACTGTTACTTGCATGCACATCAAGATCACCTATACAAAATCTAGATTCTCAGTATTTCTTGAACTTTGTCCAGGTTCATCCAAATTCTCATCTTAATACATTCATCCAAGCCAACTAAGGAGCATATGCACTTGATGACATTCATTACCACACCCTTGCCACAAGTTTGGTTAAAGTGATTCTACACTTCATCTTTGAATTTGAAATACGCTATCTGTTAAACTCTTCTTTATTATAACATGTAAGCATCCCTACGCATACCATTCCCCAGTACCATATCATAAATGTGGTTCACAATTTTCTGGGACGTTTCATCTACCTGCATAGTTTCCTGAATGCATGCAACATTCACTCTCCTATGGTTTTCAAATAACTCCCTTAGCTTTCCCGCCATTCCAACCGTATCCCACTCCCTTGGATTAGCCTTTTTTCTCCCATGAGTTGACAATCCAACCCTTGCTTACTTCTATAATGTGTTGAAGTGACATGTCTATATTCCTTACACCTTGGGTAGGAATGTGAGATGCAACAAAGGAGGGAATCACATCCCAATTGCAGCTCACTAGCATAAATTAATTACGCTGCTCATGTTCATTCTAGTACACCCAACTTCCAATGTGATGTCCGCCTAAAAATATCTTAAAGAAATCTCTTTTGGTTTCATTTTCATGAGAATAGACATACATTGTCTGCTCACAAAGTGAAAGGCCTCTCACACTCCCTCCTCCATCTTGGCCTTGAACATGTTATTTATCAAACTAAATTTAGATTCTTAAACTAGATACGTAGGCAAAAGAGGCAATTTTACATGAAAAATGAAATGTCATATATGCAACTACGACATAAACAACTAAATAATTACCCAATTAGGATGTGATTGCCACTGCTATTGAAGTCAAAACACTCTACAACTAGAGGGTTCTCCTGTAAAGATTGAACAAAATATATGATGGAAAACATGGATTAGTAGAATGCCATGACCTTCAGAACCACTCTGTCTAATAACATGAGACAACTACAAAAAATCATCATATAAGGATGATTTTCAGCTTAAGTATAAAATAATGCATGGTGAGCAAGAATTAGCCAATCTTACCTTGCTCCCATATTGTTGTGTACTTAAACATAAAGGCTTCCATACTGGGTCCAAATTGTTGTGCACGACTTCTGTCTTGCAAACTGGAACTGAACCACCAGTCTCAACAATCCTAGAGATTCGTAAGAAAGGATCCTAAAGAGGTAAAATAAGAGGTTTAACATAAATGCCAAGGATCAAGTTGACCATGATTATATTACAATGCTTTAAGCAAATGTTGAGTGAGTAATTACACTTTTAGAGAACCGGTCCTTGTTATCCAAGTTTGAACATCGGAGTCTCATCTCAATAGCAGTTTTGGAAGCTATGGTTTCTTCTGCATGAACAGTTATTGAACCCAAATTTCCAACACTGTGCCCATTTCTATTACGAAGTTCTAGGGTTATAGTTCGGCTTCGGAGAGTCACAATCTGCCAATGTTTGAAGAAACAAGAACCACCTTTAATCAAGCAAATCTATCAATATCCATGACAATCTCTTGTATGAATAATAAACTTTAAACTTAGCTACATCACATCACTGCTTGGAAGAAGGTATGAAGATCATGTAAGGTATTTCTAGGTTAACTATCATGAAACGCATCGGTTACAAAGACCAGATATATGTTCATAGAAAGTCAGATACGTCTGTTTTTTCCTTGGTGAAGTGACATTCATTATAAACAAAACAAAACAATGATTGATTTTGTGTAAGACTAGGAAGGAAAGACTGCCTTTAATTCTGGATGGAGAAATAATGATGAGACATGTCCAAATCCAGTGGCCATCCGAATCTACCGACCATAAAAACATTTGCGAGAAGGACATATAATTTTAGGCTGCAACTAGACTTACCTCTGACAAAACACAGCTGGCTTCACCAAGAAAATCTTGGTCTTTCAGTTCCAGCATCTGTGCACCATATACCAAGGATGATGTTGAATATACAAGACATAGAATAGAATAAGCAAGTCTGAAGAAGACATCAAAGGTTTGAAGGTTAAAAAAAATGTATATGCACCTTCGTTGGCAAATTATGATACTTTGTATCCACATCATACACCTGAAAGCTTTTGAAAAGAAACAGGAAATATGCAGAGAGTTTACTAAATCAAAAATGAGGTCTGCCAGACTTTGGGGGTGTTTGGGAAAGCGTTTCAAACGGACTTATTGACTTATACCGGTGCCAAACCGGTAATAAGTCATTTTGGAGTGTTTGGATAAAAAATAAAAAAAGTGCTTATACCGGTACCAAACCGGTAATAAGTCGTTTTTGATAAGTTAAACCCTCTTGACTTATTTGACAGATTACCCTATTAACCCTGGTTTCTCATCGCATCCATCTCATCATCGTTGCCGGCAAGACTTCCACAGACGACGTTCTTGCTGGTTTCGTTCGCATCGTTGMCGGCTATCGCATCCGATCTTGCTGGTTAAGAACCTTTAATCGCCGGCGACCTGGTGATGCTTTAATCGCCGGCGACCTGGTGATGCTTTAATCGCCGGCGACCTGGTTTAGGGTTTAGAGCCGACGACGAGAAGGAGGCGACGAGGCGAGGCCGGCGACCTGGTGATGCTTTAATCGCCGGCGACCTGGTTTAGGGTTTAGAGCCGACGACGAGAAGGAGGCGACGAGAAAGGGAACGCACGGAGAGGAGACAGCTTGATTTCTTTTCTAACCCTCAACTGGTACATAACCTCAAATGAACCGGGGTGTTTTGGTCATTTTGCTTTTTTGTACCGCTATAAGCTAATCCAAACACTTTTTACAAAACTCCAGTTTGATACCTCATAAGTTAATAAGCACTTTTACAAAAAAGCATAAGTTGTTTTAAATAAGCAATCCCAAACACTATGAGCAACTTAACAAATTAGCAGAATGCTTACACCAGTGGCTGAACAATCTCGAAGTGAAATACAACATCTATTTTCTGAATCCACGTGGGATTCAAGTTGTTCATGATCACCTCCGTGCGACCAAGTTGCTCCAGAGTTCCATCTTTCTTCTGGGCATATACTACTGCCATAGGGTCACTCTACAATTTAAGGAAAACATAACATCAACACGTAACTAGATTCAGTAGCATCGCGAAGCAACAGGACAAGATTTATATACAGGGTATATTGTTGTTTTGTTTGCATTAATGATGATGCATGTTGGTACCAACTTGGGGTAACAGCCAGTACCCACCTTCATCAACATCATTGCCATCATCGCAACCATGGCCAAGAACATGGACCAGTGGTGGTGGGTGATTATGATTAATAAATTTGAACCCATTTGTTAAAAGTTGCACCTACACATTGTGCATTTTTCAATTCAATTTTTTCTCTCTAGCCTTGTAGTATATATATCCTTGCCACAATCTTATATTTGATGGATTTTTCCAAGAATCAAATTACTGAAAACAGTATTTGCTGAGATATCCAATAAAGTAGACAAAGTGTGGCAGGACATGAACATCAGCTGTTTATTTTTATTTTTATTTTTATTTTTTTTGGGGGGGGGATTACAATTAAGAGGCATTTGAAGACAGAGAATCAAAGCAATACATAAAACAATGAAGACCACAAATTTAGGAACTAGTTATGGTACCTTAGACATGATGTCATAATCGCGTAATTTTGAAGCTGATAAATTTAACTGCAATTCATTATTGAAGAATCTGTTATACATGAAATTGCTTCCAAGAGATACAAAATATAATTACTAGCACCTTGGACGAAAATATAATTACTAGCACCTTGGACGAAGCTGAATAGCAAGTGGGCATGTGTTTGTTATTCAATATTACCATCAACAAATTGAAGTGCCAAGTGAGAAGCAAATGATAACTAACTTACCTTTTCGACATTTTTGTCGTTAAAAGCATAAAGTAGATATCTTGATCATACAAATGGTGAATTAAGACTTGTACAGAACTTTTTTTTATAATGTTAAGCATAATTTGGCTCATAAGAGTTATCTGAAATTTAGCAATCTGTCCAAAATTATGCTGCAGGAGGTCCAACAATTTTTTTCCATTCTAAGTTCTAACAACATCGCTCATGTGCAGCTAAAGTCCCTGTTTTTAAACCAATGTTGCTTTCATCTAATTGACACTCTTTTCCTTCTTTTACTCAGTAGTGTTTTTCACATTATACATATACATATATATATATATATATATATATATATTAATTGATTGAATAGATTGCAAGCACAAATTACATAGGATTCTTGCCAGGGCCCAACCAGGCCTTTTAACTTAGCAAGCTCAAATCTTCACAAGAAGCAATTACGAATTGGTAACGTCATGCAGTAACTTCAGAAAAACTGCAAAAATGTTGTTCATCATTTCCATTAGTGGAGTAGACATGCGAAACCAGAAGAAAGAGTCAAAGCAGGATTTAATAAAGTGATTGATATCAGAGAAGTTTTAGAATATAGGTTCTTAAATATGACAACAAAGGAAACTAAGCTACATAGCAACAAACAGAAAAGCATCTACTATAGTCTATATTACATCCCAAAAGAGGACCACAAAAACACAGAACCAAGAAAAAACATTTGTAATTGATCATATCATGTTGACTGCATGTAATGGAACCTGAAGTCAACTTAATGTTGGCATAATAATCTACTAAATGAACGACATTGTTATCAAAAAGCTTCTCTAATTTAGCATAAAAAGGAGAGTGTGTTTTAAGCTTTGCCCAGTACAGTATTTCATATGCAAAAGAAACAATTACAAGGAAACCAAAAACAAGCAAAATAAAGAATTTGTGCCTCGAAGTCTTAAGTAACAAACATAGGTTGTTTGGGTCAAACATATTCCATAGCCCTAATCCTAAAAAACTAGATTAATCGGGTATATAATAAAACGATAAGGAATATGTTGATAATGCCTAATAAGTGAGGGATAGTAATCAGAGGGCCCATGGAATAACATATGCTACCTAACAACCACTAGATATATGTGTGGCCTTATTCCAATTCCCTCCTAACAAGACAAATTACTGTAGCAGTATATGTTTGGGCTTGCTTGTATACATGGTCCGAATTTAACAATGAAACACGACCCACAATCCATATGCAATCTACGCAAATGAAAAGCAAATGTTGCATAAAATGACACACGAAGTTTGGTGCACTGATGCCAACAATGGTCTGAATACAGTTGAACGGCAACCTAACTGACCACTAACAATCTATACTATATTATAAAACCTTTGATAAAAACTCTTAAAACAAATATTGTGCATAAAGTATTGTTTTTAATGCATAATCTTACAATATATTACTGCAATATGTACAACTCCTTAAACTTCCACATTTGAACTCCATAAAACCAACTGATAAGCGCGTTCAAATACACGATAAATGTCGAGTCCTACTAATATGGCAAAATAATCCATAAATTCAAATTCTCTTTTTAATGATGAATTGCACTTATTTTCCTTTCTCAGTTACAATAAAATTTTACATCCTGCAGCATGAGGCATACTTGTCGACTACTCTTCATTGGTTCAACTTCCAACAATTTCGATTTTGAAATGTATAATACTAATCACTAATTGTAGTATTATTCTGTCCTTAACCCCCTTCCTTACCATCTGTGTTTAAGAGAAATTGCATCTAAAAGTTTTGAACTATTAACCACATAACAGATATGGATTTTTTTTTTTGATTAACCTGGATGTCCAACCCGCTATGCGAGCCGACTAATCCCAGGGCGACCACCTGCTTTGCAGATAACCTGGAGTCACCGCATTTGAACCTTGGCCACAAGGGGATTTTTATTCCTCCTTGGATTTGAACCTAAGACCTCCAGGTACTTTTGATCTTTGGAGTCAAGCTCAAACAATCAGGCACCACCCTTGTGGTTACATATATGGATTTTGTTACACAACTTATATGGATTTTGTAAAATGTTAAAAATTACCTAAAAATATTTATACAATCAATAATAAGGATACAAATAAACACAAATTCAACATAACAATTTGGAAATTTTATACAAAATCATAATAAACAAATAAGTTTGTAGAAAACAATTCAAGCTTCAACAGAACAAACATAGCTTAAGAAGATAATTCAAACTTATCTAGTAGTATCAGAACACGAATGCTCAAAAAGACAAACATGTCGCTTGCAAACACTATGTAGTTACCGGAACAAAAAAATAGGAATCAATTATTTGAAAATAAAGGTATAATTAGCATTATGGATGGCATAAACTCTTGATGGATCAATTGCCTCACGGTTGAACACTTGAACGGGATCAAATGGCTTTAAACAAGTTAAAACTGAGTTTTTGGGATTGATAAGACGAACTGTTAGTTGTTTCTCGGTTAGGTCTTCAAACAATGTGCCAAACTGCACTCAACGGGAAGCAATTTGAACTTGTACCGATAGAACAGCAAATTGTAACCATATTCATTAAATAATCCCGATGCAACTACAACACAAGTTAGAAAACAAGACCATTTACGAATATATACCTCAATTCGAGTGTAGAGCGGTTGAAGGCCTTTTGATCGAAAGAAGAAATCGACGGCATCATTTTGAACCGTACCAGAGGAGGAAGCAGTAGCAACGTTGCTACTGATACCCCTTTGTAACCTTAGGCTATGAACTCCTCCTACTGCTGCTTGTCCACCCTTTACGTCCGAAAAACATCCTCCCATTCTCCAAAACTCCGATCAAAACCAATCGAAGTCGATGAATTCGGATCAATTTGTCCCTGCAGTCGCAAAAAACAACAGTTTTGGTTTGAAATCACAGCAAAGCAGTTCACCAAACCAAATCTTCAACCTCATTGGGTGTATTCAGTGGTATTTTGGTCGTATATACGTATATATACACACAAAAGAGTCGATGAGATTTTGAAACCGTAAGATGGAAAAGGTAAATCCACCATGCTTTTACTCGAATCGTCGAGTAATTTCCCATTTTCTTGGTCGACTCCGTTCGTTAAATTTCGATTTTGATTTAAGTGGCCCCTCCTCAATTTTTCAGGGGAGTTTCCACAGCTCAACACTCTAAAAAATACATGTAAATACACATTTGTGTTTGGAATTGTTTATAAAAATAAATTATTAATTTATTTTGGTGTGATACTGATAATAAATATTTTTGAGTGTTTGGATAAATAATTTATACCGGTGATAAACCAATAATAAGGAGTTTTGGAAGAAGTTAAACTCTCCTGACTTATAATAAGTTGATAAGTGATTTTATAGAAAAGCATAATTTGTTTCAAATAAGCAATTTCAAACACCCACATAATAAAGTTTGGAACAAGCAAGGATCTTATTCGATAAGCGAGGATAAAGGCTTTTATCGACTAGTAAGAAATATAACAAGTGTTGTTTATCGAGTTCAAGACATTAACCAACAATAAATTTTGATAGCCGAAAATGTTACACGATAGGGTGATACTGGGGTTACTATTATTTGAACTCAATATAACCCGATGAACTTGATATTCTTTTATTTTTTGGATATAATATGATTGTTGAGTTTATATTAATTAGTCAATTAGACTATCACGTACGCTCTTTATGTATACATGTTTTCAATCTATTCTTCATCTCTATATACAATTCATTCGTATATATGTTGACTAACTGTGAACATATATATGTAAATTGAGAAAACTAATTGAATGTGATATACATATGAAGTATGGATAAATTGTATCAAATGGTTAATGATGAAAATGAAATTATGAATAAAAAAATAATATATTTATTTTAATGTACCAAAGTATCAACCCAACTAACATGATCAACCCGTACGGTTTGGGTTGGGTTAAGATTTTTCAAACCGTAACACTTAGTTGAATTCCAATATTTTTAACCCGATCAATCCAACACATGAACACCCATACACATGCATGATGCATCTAAAATAAAATAGAAATTTTGGTCTTGTAATTATTGATGAAATTTGTACATGTGGGACCTATCCTTAATGGAGTGGGGACAAGAATTAATTTACATATATCTTTATTATATTATAAAATATTTTATAAAACAAATTAAAAGTCATTTTTTATGCATGAAGTACTACTTATTATATATATTTCTTAAAATTCAATATTACAAGTAAATTATACGTAAGTACAACTTATTAAAGATTCAGGTTTGAATTCGTGTAACTAATTGCAAATAAACATAATCAAATGTAGGATAAACATCTCATTTTAAATATAAAAAATTTTAAATATAATTAGAATAATTCAGTTCTAACAGAATACTTAATTATTGTTTTTATAAAAATTTATATTATTAAATCAAAAATAAAATTACTTCATTATAAACCTAAATTAAAATATAATAAAAAATTTGAATTAAAGAAATTACAAAAAAAAAAAAAACTTTTAAAAAGTTAATCTGATACTAATATGGATATATTTTTTCAAATTTGTATGATATCTTAAAATTTATATTTGTTCAAAAACAAAAAGCATTATCGAGTTCTCAAAACCACATAAAATCATATTATAACATCAACAGAGACAAAAATAAAATGAAACATTAAAATCGAGATATATCTTGTCAGATTACTCGAGTACTCTTATAGTATATTCAAAACAAGTACATAACATGTTATTCATATCAGATCTGATTCTTTCCTCAAAAATCTGTCGAAAATTAAATGAGATGAGATGCATAAACAGGGAGTGGGAACGAGAGCTGCATTTCCCACTGTATTTCTATCTTTACTTGAAATATTTATGTTACGATAATGACATAATGTATGTTCACCATCGATGTCAGGGCAGATTCCTGAGGTCAATATAAAAGACAAGGAGTCAATTTTTCTCTTTGCAGTCTTCACTTTATACTTATTATTTTGTTGGAGTCAAATAAATCTGGAATCCTTTTCAAAAATATAATTAATTTGATAAACAATTCAATATAAAAAAAAATGTTGTTGTTATTGGATAAGTGTGTCATCGTCTAAAAGATATGACGATAGAAATAGAGATAATATATATCAGATTATATTAGAAACTGAAATATCTCGTAGTTATCTACTTGTAACGTATATCTATACAAAGGGCTTATGATTAATGAGAACTATATATTCTCGCTCTCTTTATTCTATTATTGTTCTGTTTCATTTTTACCATAACACGTTATCATCACGTAACCTTAAAATTCGATAAACAGTTGTTCAGTTCATTGCCCGACACTGATGAATGATTTACTTCGTCGCCGTTAAACAGTTGTTCAGTTCGTTGTCCGACATTGATGAATGATTTACTTCCCGCTACTTCAGTTCAATTATACATTTATATGTCTTATTCTTTATATTTATGAATGTTTCGCATTGCTTCTTTATATATGATTCTTTTAAGATCATGTTAAAAGTTTAACGCGTATTATGATTCGACATTAAAATATCTTTTTATTATATTTTTATTGCCGATATCAATAATTTATAAGTATTTATTTAAATTTTTTTGATTATTTATGGGATTTTATTGTACTTTTAACATTTTAATTATATGATTTTTTGTTTTTACTATAAAAAGAAAATAAATACATAAAATAATCAATTTATTTTCGATGGATAACGAAAATTAAAAAAAAATGTTTTTCAATCAATTTTTTTAATAAATTAATTTTTTAAAGATTTTCTTAAATTGACTCATTGATTTATATTGAATTTATCGGTTAATTGCTATTTATTTTAGGTCTTTATCTAAATTAGACTAATGGATCATTTACCTAAATATTTACCCGATAAGTACTTAACATTAAGAGTCAATTATGATATTGGGTAAAATTATAGTACATCAAAATGTATCATATGCAACAATTTACCTGGTAAGCGCTTATCCGGATAAGAGTCGTCATCCTCACTTACCGGGTAATACTCTCCATCCTTATTATCGCTCTTACCGGGTAAGATTATTGACCCTTGTTATGTTCATCCGGTAAGGAAAATTACCCAATAAGTACTTACCAGATAAGCATTTAGTAAACGGCCCCTAACTACATATTTGTTTTCTTTATTTATTCATATTGAGATATCTAATTAGTTTTATTTAATCAGATGGTTAAACCAATCTTTTAGGCTAATTCAAATAACAATTAGACTACTTTAGACTACTGGTTAATTTAAGTTTGGCTTCAGTTCATTTAATTTTAATTGGGCTAGTATAACTTTTATTCTTTTGGCATATCGTTCTTAATTTAAGCATTATCAGTTAGTTACAATATTGCCATATTTATTAGTAAATTTAATTGTGTTAATATTATTTACATGTTAGGATCTTTTATTTGATTTGGACCATTTAAATTTACTGATATATTGTTATGAGATATGATAATCAATTATTTAAACGAACAGTAAATTTATTTAACTGGTTTTGCCATTTTACTTCGATTATTCAGGTCAATTACCGTTTATTAATCTAATTATAGATGTACGCTTTGATTGATTTTACCACATAATATTTAAATGATTATCTTACTGAAATGTGTTTATCTTGATTATGAGTTCTTACTCATATAGTCAGTTTTTAGAAGTTACACTTACAACCCCGATATATTTTGGTAACATAATGACATTTTTGGAGCTTATAAGAAGAGACCAAAAAGAATGTTTTAATACATTAGTGGTATTTTGAGAGATTTTGACATTTTTTTTCTATTAACCAGGATATCCAATCCGCTATGCGAGCTGACTAATTTCAGGGCGACCACCTGCTTTGCAGATAGACCGGAGTCACCGCATTTGAACATCCGTGGCCAAAGGGGATTTTTATTCCTCCTTGGATTTGAACCTGAGACCTCCTGATACTTTTGACCTTTGGAGTCAAGGTCAAACCAATCAGGCACCACCTTTGTGGCTAGTTAAATGAGCTTTTAGGCTACTTGGAATAGAATGATTTCATGTGACATTTTTTCACGTGATCAATATTACAATATAACTTGACAGCTTGTCATTCATATCATCAACAGTTGCCTGTCAAAATGAATATGAAACACGAAAAATTAAATACTTATTACACTAATCGAGAAAAAGAGACAATAAATTGGAACTCGTTTATTCTTGATGTCGAGTTCGTTTTGGTCATAGAAATGCAACATGATCATGAGGAGATACCGTTAAGAGGTAGCATTCTGCTCTGTAACTGATATGGATTGATATAACTGGTCCACTTTAACCGATCCTTGGACGAACGGGCAAGTGTCACATGACACTCTTACAAAAATTGGTTCTAATTGATTAACCTTAATCGGTCCTTCGACGATCGATCCCTTAACCGAGCATTATAAAATAAACGTATTTAACAGTATCGGCCGGTCAAAATGTTACCAATCTTAGTTCAAATCCAGGTGATTTTCAAGCTTCATGCCCAACTCTTACCTTTTTTTGTTAATCTCAAAGTACTTGCCATTTGTGTTTTTACAATTGTCCTTTGCCCCCAACCAATATCAGTATCGTTTGGTAAAAACTAACTGATAAGTTAGATCACAATGTAAAATAAGAAAATATAAATTATGTCGGATATAAGGGCCCATAAAAAAGAATCCCAATAAGCTATTTGGAGTACATTTTCAAAAAGTTTAGTTTTATATCTTACCAAATGAGTCTTTTTCAATAAGCTGGCTTATGGCATACCAAATGGGACCAGACATATGTAAGACCAAAAGAGACGGCAAGAGATTTCTTTGACGAAAAAGTGGCGAACCCGTGAAATAAGAGGTACGAGAACAACACGCGAAGTTATTCAGTACGATTTTGCTATCCCTATGCAGTTAGTTAACACATTACCTGTAGAACTTACAGAAGCAAATACCAGCGGTGCTCTTCAAGCATTTGACTTGGCTCGAGACGTTAAGTACTTAAAGGCTACCTTCGAGAACTGGGTGATTGTGAAAAACATTTGCATGAATGCACGGCTCTTCACGATGGTCTCCCGTATTCCCCTGGCGGTTCTAGCGACCACGGGCCCTGCCGCTGGTTCGGATGTCATTGGGACTACCATCTGCACCGATGCTAACCAAGTAAAGATGATGTAAAACTCAGGATCCCAAGCAATTGAGTAAAATCGTGTGAGGGTGGTTCAAACGATAATACTACTAACCTGATGGATTCATGTTTGTCAATCGGCGCAATCTTTCCTCGGCCAAACGAACGGCACGCGTGGAGCTTTTAACACCTTGGGTTATTTCCTGGCTGCAAACGTAGTTGAGTCATGTAATTGATGTGAATTACCAGAGATTGAATAAGGCTATATTTGGCAAACTAGCTGATAAGTTGGTTGTTGGCTAAAAAATTAGTTGTTAGCTGAAAAGCTAGTAATGTTTGGTAAAAACTAATGACAATGTAAAATGACCTAAAAGGACATTGAAAATTAATTGGAAAAATATAAATGGGGGCATAATTGGAAAAAAAAAAAGTGAAAAAAAACCCTGAAGCTTGTTGAAACGCTACTTGAGGTATTTTTTTCAAAAAGCTAGCTTATGGCTAACCAAATGGGGATTTTTCATTAAGCCTAAAATATAAGCTATGGCCTAAAACCAGTGGATTAGAAGAAAAGGACGGAGATTTGCTAACCCTAAATCACTGAGCTCCATAGTTAAGTCGCTGATCTCCATTCCTGATAACCGAACAGCAGCCATTGTGTCAGGGAGCTCCTCCCTAGTAACATCCAGCAGTTTTTCAAGAGATTCTGCTGCCCTTTTGAAAGCCTTCAGGCAACCAAATTGGAGTGTCACAAGAGAGTAAATGGTTTAACATCTTTAAGTTTTATTTATCTTCAATTAATTTGGCAATTGCTATTCCTTCCCAATTTCCAGGTAAGATGTAGGTTTTAAATCTGTCACATTTATCAACCAAGTACAAATGCAAGTGAGGCAATATAAGAAAGGAAGGACAAACCAAAAATATCGCATCTTAATATCGGAATTACATTTGGCACTTCAGCCAGTGGGTGAAGATGAAAATGATATTTGAATCTTGTTCATTGTAAATAAACGTAAACAGGAAAATACAGTCTAGGAATTAAAATAACTAACCAGAAGTGTAGGAATTGCGGAGCAGAAAAGCCACGTAGCTGAGATTGCTGCCTGCGGAGAGAATCTTGAATTAGTAATGATCAAGACTAATCTCAACATGGTTTATAATTTTAAGAAACTATGTTTGAAGTGAAGAAATACATCCTTCAATTCCCCTTTTAGGTTATAGATGAGGGATCGTGTGAAAGTAGGAGTTAAGGTGAAAAGTATAAGAAGGGATTTGGACCCTTGATCACTTTTAATCCCAAACCAACCCATGAATTGCGCTTTAGAGGAATTGACCTAGTGGTTCTCTTTAATTAGGATCGATCCAGAGTGGAGATCCCTTCTTACCCTTCTCAGCATAACTTTCATTCTCACTGGAACCCAACCCTTAGGTTATATCACTAGCAATTACGGGTTATGACAAATAGACACTATTGGATTCATCAAAATAATACAGCACTTAGAAAAAGAAATAGATAGTCCCACATGAGCTTGGTTAAATTTGACTCTTCCTCTTTGTGCCTGAATTCACCAAGTCACAGTAAGTGACAAACCTTGACAAAGGAGGCAGCTTAAATAGGTAGCCTAACAGTAAATTATTTTTTTGTCAATATGAGCAATGGGGCAATTTCATTTTCCAAAAACAAACAGAAGTTGTAGACACCCACTGAAAAGCTCACAATATCCTTCCAGAGAGCAAAGAGAGGTCCTAAAACCACCTACACAACAAAGTGCCCACCTAGCCATGCATAGTTGCAAGTTCTTGATATTATATATATATATATATATATATACACATATATATGTGTATATATATATATGTATATGTTTGTCTAACGCTATGTTCGCAAACAGCTGATAAACTAGTTGTTGGCTAATAAACTAGTTATGTTTGGTAAAAAGTAGCTCATAAGCTAGTTGAAAATGTAAAATGACCTCCAAGGGCATGCTGAAAAAGTATTTGGGAAAATATTAGGGGCATAATTGGAAGAAAAAAAGTGTGAAAAACCACAAGCTTATTTAGACACTACTTGAGGTGGTGCTTCAAAAAGCTACCTTAGGGTTGCCAAACACGGTTTAAGCGATATTAGTCAAAATTTTAGCAGTTAATGTTTAATTTTTCCATGTCATATTATCATGTATGTGATTAAACAAATGACTCTGCAACTCCTGACAACACTGTTCAATTATATGACTTTTTTTTGGAAGGGGGGGGGGTTCCTATATTATTACTCTACTTTTCAGAAAAAGAAAATCAGAAGCATGGATGTCTAACATAATCACATAAGTTCCCCTGTGGCAGGGGATGGAGGTGTTGTATTGCAAATACATTTAGAAAACAATTTTTTGCTTTAACCCTCAAAGCGTCGAGGGAAATCAAGTAAGGCATGAACTTCTGCCCTTCTACATCTGAACCAGCAACAAAAATTGGATAAGCTTTGTACAGCCATTGTCTCTTTATCTCCCACACATTGCAGGGAAAGATACTTAATCTATAATAGAATAGGATAGACGGTTGACTTGAGAACAGGACTTGATCTTCATAAATATCCACTAACAAAATGTTTTCACTTCTCAGACCTCCCTTGCCAGCCATGTCAAAGCAAGACATTTGTTAAGGGCAATGGTAACCTCAAGGGAATAGTAGCAGCATCACAAGAGGCAGAATAAAACCCTCAAAAACAGCATTTTTCAACAACTAATGCCGGATTATAAATTAAAAGTCTGTGTGTCAATGACTTTGATAAGCACGTGGAGAAATCCTTGACATGGTAGAACGAAAAACAGTAGAAAAACATAGAACCAGTGGGAATGACTATCTATTGACACGGACCTGTTACCACTTGAGCTCGGAGGTTAACCATGTAGAATGGATGATAACGCTGGTACGCAGAAGCTGCCGATTAATGGGACAGGTGGCAAGACTAGTTATTTGTTCCGAAAAATATGATGAAAAATTAAAATTAAAAATAGAAATTTTGTTTTCCTGGGTTTGAAAATTTAACCTCGCTAAAGTCAAATAGTCAATACATACTTTTTGTAGTCCAATTTTCTAATCCTTAACAACAATAAAATCAAGTCTATGGTTTGTAATTATTGTTTATAAATTCTAGGAACTAGTTTTGATTTTATTAAAATGTCAATGTTTGCCACACACCATCTTTTATCCAGTTCTGCTTTTTTTGGCAATGTAAATGCAAAAATAGAAAGAAAAAGGAAGTTTCGCCAAGCAAAGGCTGTAGAATTAGCTCATCCCAACCCAACAGCATGACTTCTAGTTCGCTAACACTAGAAGAAGCAACCACTGAGTACAATAGCCAAAATCTATATGTGTTATCACACCTATTCAGTGAAACAGCCCAAAAGAAGTTGATCCCACTCCCCAACCAGAACCAAAGCAGTTCGAGCACCCAGATTGTTATTTCTTTCGCAGGAAAAACTCGAGGGAAACATATGTTCTGTTTCCTCTCTCCCACCCTCCATATCTCTCTGGATCATATTTTCTTCCCTGGTCCATTTCCTTATCTATTGATCTAACTGCAAGGTTTCTGGCTTACAAGAAAAGCATCCAAGGCAAGCAAGAGGATATCTTTTTCATGCCTCATATTGCTAATAAGTAGCCTTCATAGAGCAAACACACAAGTGATGCTGGAAGAATGAAGCACAACGATTCAAGAAAGAAAATACAAATCTCTGAAATCCTTGGTCTTTCCTCATCTTCCAACTTCAATCAGATCCTTTTAAAGATAATGAGATGCAACGTACGCTCATGAGTTATGACCCTGTCTCAACTTGGTTGGCATAGTCTTGGACTTAAATATGCAAGGCAGCATAAAATATATGACTTTGTCCCAACTTGGTTGGTACATTCTTGGACCTTCTTAGATAAGATGTGCAAGTGCTAGCTTAGTTAACTAGAAGTCCATAAATCACACCCCTTTCCATCTACTTAGGTTAGTTATCGACTTATCGCATTTCTCTATGCCATCATAAGTTCACAAGCTTTAGTGTTTACTAAAACAGGGTAATCAAATATGGATGGCTTCATTAGTATTGATACATTCAATTTTCCCTGCTCATAAACTTTAGGTTGTCTACTACATCATAACCATGCCGGTTCATTTGATAACTGATAGAACACCTTTTGCAGCTGATTTTTATGCAAAGAAATAAAAACAACATACCACCAAAGCTTGATCTATCGCATACCCTATATTCCAAAATTACCCTATGAAATTGATTAATTGCCTCAAGTTTCACTATAAATTATAACAAGTTAATTTTCCTTAGTTCCACAAATAGATCAGTATTTTTCACTTCCAAAATCAGTTGGGATAGTGTCAAAAATAAAAAACATTGGGGATTTTAACTACTAGATAAATACTTGATAACCACATAAAACTTTAAAACAGGTATCACTAGTTGGTGGTCAACCAATAACTAAAATTCATATCGGTTTCGTAAATCAAAATGTAGCTCCTTTTTTGAACCAAGGGGTAGTTATCATCGAAGATGTAATACCCTATATACAAAGCAGCAAACTGACACGATAGCCTCCGATTTAATTAAAGCAAGGTTATTACTAACCCAACTACTAAGACTTATAAGTAAGTCGCAAGTCTAACGCAACCAATGTGGACTGCTGTCACAAACTGGCCTTCTTAAATTCCAGCCAAAACATAAACCCAAACCGAATCCTTGACACTAACCCAGTGCATTTTGAGTGGCCACTGCTCTAATGCCATCTATAATAACCAAACCCAAAGTAGCAGGTCCCATAACCCTCTTTCAACTAAAAGCAAGGTGGTCTATTAGTAGTTTGCAAGGGACTTACAAGTCTAACTCATAGCCAGAGATGCTACAACGAATTCTCAATTATCGTTAAATGCAAACTAAGAGACTAGGATTCCTAGACACGTACTCACACGCACACACCTATAAATGAATCTACAATAAATGCACATGCGAATTGAAACTTTTCAAGGTACACAACAAATCGCTGAAGAACTAAATTGAAAAAATTCAAAAAGTTAAAGGATACCGCGCAAGCAATGAAATTGAGGACGATGATGTGGCGCTGTGTGAGGTTCCATTGCGTGAGCGGAGGAATCGGAGGTGGAGATCCTACGGAGGTAGTGAAGGTAGTCGAAGAAGCAACAGAAGGCCTGAACGACGACGAATTGCTTGAATTTGTAGAAAGAGAAGCGAGGCACCGATTATGAAGTCGTCGACGGCGGAGGTTAGAAGAAGATAGAGTGACGGCGTTGCCGGAAAAATGTTGGCCGTAATCGTATTTGACAGAAGGGCAGGAAATTCGCCGCAGATTCAGTGAACTGATCATCGTCAAGCTCTGGAATCACCGGAACGAGACGAAGCTCATTCACACGCACCATCAATAATATCATTTATTTACACTTTGGTCCCTGAAAATACTAGAAAGTTCATAAAAGTCCTTAAAAGTTTGCATAAATGCATCAAGGACCTCGTACATGCAAACAAGCAAAATAAAAAATAGGGATGGAAACATGGCAGGTAATGCATCCTCATTTCCCAACCCCAGATTAAGCCCCCCCGGTACCAACTCAACCTCGACTAATAGTTTCATTAAGATGCAACATCTGAATCGTTAGGAAGTGAATCTTGTTTGGTAAAAAAAAAAATTGTCTTTTAATGATTCTAAAACTCTCTAAATGATTGTGTATCATGCGTCTCCCTTAACCATTAAGCGCCATAATTTCTTTGTAAACAATTATCAAACAATTATATTTCATTTTACACTATATCATGAGTCTTTTAATCATTCTGACCACTTAATCATTCTGTATCAAATCATTCAGCAACTGCCAAACATTCTCTAAATGACTAATTCTCGATTGGTTTAGGGAAGGGGGTTGGAAGGAATCACCAATGGGTGTGGGGAACCCGTTGGATACTCGTTAAGTAAAAAGTAAGAAAAAATAAAAAATACCGTACCAAAATTGAAAATCAAATATATGTATCTTATACACCCATAGGGGACAAATCAAATAGAAACCATCTCTATTTTGGAAACTCTATGAACCAATATGGACCACACATATTTAAGGGGTTGTTTGGCAGTTGCTGAATGGTTTTGTACAAAATGGTTAAGTGGTCAGAATGGTTAAGTGCTGAATGAAATATGATTGTTTGGTAAATGTTTTCTGAATGACAACAAATTACCATTTTAACCCTCTTCTCATTGCCTCTACTCTTTCCAAATATCAGGCACAACTCATCATAATAAGGAAATGACTTATAAACAGATACACATAAACATATACCAAAATGGCTTGATTCAACAGATACCAAAATGATTAGCTCATAACTTAAATCCACCAACGATCAAATCGATTACCTCATTCAAACAGCCCTAAGTTCATCGACATTGTGATTGCAGAGGGAAGGAAAAATGAGACAGAAGGGAAATACCTGAAATCGAGTGGGAGACGATGTAGAAGACGACGGAGACGATGGAGAAGACGCTGGAGAACACGATCGAGTGGGATGAGGAACGAGGATCTCGCGTGGGAGGAAAGAGCGGCGGGAAGTAGTAGGCGCGGCGACGATCGTGGGGGGGGGAGACGGCGAATGGAAGACCGACGATGGGAGGGGGGAAGACGGCGAATGGAAGACCGACGATGGGAGGGAGGAAGACGGCGAATGGAACCGACGATGGAGGGGGGGAAGACGGTGAATGGAACCATGGAGGGGGATGCGATGTGAAGAACGGCTTGAGAGGGCAGAATTGGAAAAATGAACATCTGAATAGTTTAGTGAAGCTCTAGGTGCAAAATGGTTAAGAGGTTAATGTAACCATTAAGAGTTTGTTTTTTTTTTGCCAAACAGTTTTGACCTCTTACCGATTAAGAGGTTGGCTCTTAATGTCACCATTAAGAGCCAAACAAACAGCCTCTAACTTTCCTAATTCTTTTATCAATTATCTTATCAGTTATTTCCAAAAAAAACTCATTTTTTCTTATTTGACATCACTTGATCGATGTAATACCCATAAGTAAAATTTTAATCTCCAATAAAACACTAGTCTAGTTGTTTTCTATGTACCAAAAGTAAATGCAATATTTTACCATATATATATATATATATATATATACATATATATACACCGTATTATAAAGCATTTGACAAAAACTCTTAAAAATCATTTTTTTTGTATGAAGTACTATTTATTGATGTACATTACTTAAAAATCAATATTACAAGTAAATTTTGAGTAAGTACAACTTATTAAATCCTCATGTTTGAATTTGTGTAACTAACTGCAGATAAACATAATTAAATAGAGGATAAACATTCCATTTCAAATACAAAAAAAATATAATATAATCAGAATAATCATTGAGTTCTAACAAAATATTTAATTATTATCTTTATAAAAAATTGTATTATTAAACAAAAAAAATGAACCAAGAAATTACACACAAAAAAAAAATTAAAGTCATGTTGGTACTAATATCAATATTTTTTTTTCAATTTTTTATAACATCGACCGAGACAAAAAAATTAAAACGATACATTAAAATCAAAATGTATCTCGCTGCATTGTGCGAGTACCTTTCTAATATATAATAAAAAGGTTTTAACTAGTCAAGTATTGAAAATATCTTTAAAAAAATAGATTAAGATATGGGTTAACTGGTATTTGCACTAAAATGGTTATGTCTACACTTCATATTGACAAAATATATTCGTTAATCAATTATTCATGAAGAAATGCATGGTGAAAATATTATTCATCAAAGTATGTCCATATCTTCGTTTAAAATTTGGTGACAGGGTCAAGTTTAAGGGTGTTAACGAGTCGAGTTGAACATCGGGTTTTTTGGACTTAACTCGATAAAATATATCAGACTCGAGCTCGAATCATTTCTTTCCAGAATAGTAGTTGAGCTTAAATAATTTTTACAATGTTTTAGCTCAAGCTTGATGCATGTTTGAAGAGTTCGAATTGCACATTTTAACCTAAAATTGAAGTGTTATAAGCTCGTATGTGGGCTCGATGGCTGATTAACTCGTTTATTGGTTCGAGCTCCAAATACAGCGCTAGCAACAACTTCTTTTTAATTTATATACATTGATTGTATGATTTATAAACATGTTCAAAAGTATATCCTCGTATTACTCGTTTCAATTCGACTTCAAAAAAACCCTGATGAACGAGCCAAGTTGAATATTGGTATTGCGAAGCTCAACTCGTTGATTTAAATGAAATTTATTCGTGCTTGAGACTAAATCATCGAGCTCGAGTAACTCGTTTGATTTTTTGAATCGTTAACACCGCTAATACAACACCTTTGAAGATGAGATTTGGAATTTCAACAAGTTTATCTACTGCAGGTGTGTTGAAAAACCTGTTGTACAGAGTGTCGTATGTCATTTTACTTTTCATGGATAAGTTTGTCGTATTGTCTTCCCTCAATCACTAAACGCTCATTAGTTCAATAATCATTTATGTGTTTTAGGTGCCGTTTACCAAAGCCCTTACCAAGTCAATTTACTTTACCGGATGAATATGGCAAAGACTATGAATCTTATCAAGTAAGAGCGCAAGCAAGAATCAAGAGTCTTACTCAGTAAGTGAGGACAAGGACTTTTACCATGGTTAGCGCTTACCGGGATAAATTGTTGCATACGATGCCTTTTAGTGAATAAAATATTGTCCGATAAGTAATAGATAGTGTTGAATTTTAACGGTAAGTGCTTACGGGGTGAGTGTTTAGATAAACGGCCCCTTAGTTCAGATGGAGTGTAATACCCCCGAAATTACTGGTGTGTCATACATCGATTTTGAGAACTCTTTAAATTGTAATGTGAACACGATAATTTATCATCATATACGATTTAAAACAACCTTTATAACATGTAAACTTCATAATGTGTTACGATGGATTTTATTACATTGTTTATAATTAAACATATGGTGGTAACTGTTAGTGTTATTGGGTTATGGGATCTCAAGCACAATGGAAAATAAAACTGTAACCCTCAAAGGGCCCACATGAACCGAAATAAAACGGGTGTTTCACAAGCATACCTCACAGATAGAGAGATTTTGAATCACAACAACAAACATATTAATGCTTCCACGGTATCCACACGAACAATCTGAATCTTTAGCCTTCTCGTGATGCTAGTCACAGTTTCAAAATTTAGAAAGAAAAAACATATGTTGTAGGTGATTTATAGAGAAAATTGCAAGAACAACTTAGAGGTTATTTGGCAGTTGCTGAATGGTTTGATGCAGAATGATTAAGTGGTTAGAATGATTAGGAGGCTCTCATGATATAGTGCAAAATGAAATATAATTATTTGGTAATTATTTACAACGAAATTAGGGCGCTGAATAGTTAAGAGAGACCCATAAGACAAAATCATTCAGAGGGTTTTAGAACCATTAAGAGACAAACTTTTTTTTTTGCCAAACAAGATTCACCTCTTAACGATTCAGATGTTGCCTTTTAACAGAACTATTAAAAGGTAAACAAACAACCTCTTACTTTCATAAAATGTCATACATTTTATGGTATTGTGAAGTATGGCATACAACTGCCACCATCCATACACCTTACTTAGTGTAAGAGGATCCATACACCATCGCTCAATCTTTTAATACCATCTCTAGTTATCCTAATTTATGTCCAATATAAATAACATCTTATTTTTGTTTAACCAGATTAAATCAATACAGATCAGATATAATAATTAACTTTAATTATTGAAACTTTTTATTCAGATATGTTCAAAGCATGTGACCCAATCAGTTATCAACATCTTGGTAATAAATATAAATCTCGTATTTGTATTTGTAAATGATGAGCGATATCTAGCCATACATCATCGTCACCCAAATGACTAGAATCGGTGACACAACAATTTATCGATTTGTAATCAATTTTAGTTTATACATTTAATTATTTTGTTCTTGATGTCTAGACTGAAGACGATTTTGACTTTCAACGTCCTTTATCTAAAAAAAAGTAAGACAACTTAGAAAAACCATATATAAAAAGATGTCAAAATACTATTTTTTATTTTAAAAGACATTAAATCTAATTAATTATTTATAATATATTTAATATATATATATAATATTTAATATTTGGGGACGACGTTATTCGAGCCCGTCCCACTCCCACTTTTTAACTTTTGGAGATCCTTGGTCCCCATTTTTTGCAGGGAATCCCCGTCGGGGCAGGTACATTGGTTCCCCAATAGGCAAGTCTCATTCTCATGCCTACTCACTAACACTAGGAGAGGGATCAAATAATGCGTGAAGCTGAAAATATGACATTGTTGAAGAGTTCTCGAAGTTTTATTTATCCTTCTTTATGTGATGTACAATAACTATTGGTCATATATTCAGTGAACGTAGATGATGGACCATAAACGAAAGTCGATTGAGCAAGGTTTTGGATAATGGCATGATATTTTTTGGCTTAAGCATCCATCTTGACATGGAGTAGTTGAAGAGATTCCATAACATCAGCCAAATTTGAGGCTTTAGTTAATTTATGCACTTCTTGATGTATAATGCCCATAAAAGTGCCAACAGATCTCTTACAACAAATATCATATCAGATTGATACCCATCAATCTTAATGCTTAGTCTTTCCAAGTTTTCAAAAGAGGGAACCATCAGATTTGATAATTCATGCCATCATTCGTTATTTTGTTGCATCGATCTTGAGACCCCTCAAGATCTTCAATCCTCTTCATTAGTTTATCCCTACATTTATACTGTTCATTATGATTTTCAACTTGTTTATTCAGGGTTTCTTCTGTTTGTCTACACCTTTCATTCAATAATCAGTTTGCCTCCATTAGTTGTTGAGGTAATGTTGCAATACACGCATCAGATAAACGAGTATGAAGATCGAACTCGTACAATCTATCAACAACTTGAGTATGCAAGGCATGGAGAATTCGGATTTGGTACACATGATCATAGCCTGGATGAATTTATGATGTTCGTTGTGATTGATCCGAGAGATGGACGTGAGTAATGGCTTCCGTTAAAGTAAGAATCAACTAAAAGATTGATGGAGTTCGTAATGGTGGAATAGAGCTGAATGGAAATTGGACTTCAGGTATCAAGAATATATAACTCTAAGAAACCTTTGTTATAGTTGGTACTTGTTAGGTTCCTAATAGATCTAAAGCAGTCAAGTAATCAACAGTGTAGGTAACAAGCAAGATATGAACACAGATCTAGGTCCAAACGTCATCATGTAATTGGTGTTCAAAATGATTACAAAGAGAATGCAGAGAGATAAATATTACAACCAAAATAGCTGTCTACAATAATAAACAATCTTTATTTGACAGAGTTTACACTTTTATTTATAGTACAAATGAACTTTATAGATACGTACTAATGAGTACAAGACATACGTTCTAACATGCTATAGTATCCTATGTGAAAGAACTAAAGATGAATAGGTAAGTACTAAGTCTGAATAAACACCTCATAGTTTTTTTTCAGAATCATAGGCCTTCACTTCAAAAGCTCTGAGTCTTCAGCTCCAGATCTCTGAACACAAGTCTGGTCATCCACATCAGAGTTTATACATATAGTTCTTTGAACCAACACCAAAGCAAATCTTTCAGTACTCCTGTTTTTGGAGATGGGGATGAAGTTATAATGATTTATTGGGATGAGACTAGTGTGAGTACTTCTAATGTGTTGATATCAGGAACCGATACTTGAATTAATGTCGATCCCAACTCTTTCAGTGGTTTGATGATGACCTCCCATGCTTAGTAAAATATACTTGTTCTATTTCTGTTTAGTTTCAACGATAATCTATGAGTTTGTCCAGTGATCGCTGAACATATATTGTAAACTTCTCAAAGCATAAGTATTTCTCAAATACAAAACTCACACCAAAGGAACCTTCAACAATGTCAAAGAAGTAGTTGAAGATAGAGACATTAGAAGTTCGTGATCTGAAGTGGATTCATTGATAACAAGAATGTCTAAATCAAAGCGTGAAATATGACAAAGACTCAACGGACACTGAACAACCTCTACAGATGAATCAGTGTCATCGATCAAATGAATCTTTTTCCACAAGACTAGTTTTTGTCTTATCATACATGCACAAACTAATAATTATTTTAAGTGTAGGATCAGATGTATTTGCATTATCATCAAATCAAATGGTCGACACAAACAACATTAATCAAAATAGAATTTGTTTCTATTGGATGACAAGGGTAATATCCCTTAACCAAAACCACAATTAAAATTTACGATAAAAATCAAAATACCGACACAAAAACCGAAATCACCAATCTTGTAGCCATTCAAAACTTTAAAGACGGTTTATGCTTCTATTCGAACGATAACCGTAACACTAACAAAAAGGAAACTCCGCATGTAATTAAGACGAGTTCTAATCAATGCTTTAATTAAAGATCGACAAGGGTTTGTTTTGGATTTAACACGTAGACATGTCAAATACTGAAAATACCCGTTTCGTTAATACTTTAAAAAACCGATTTTTTTTTTTGATTTTGTTTTTTGAATACAAAGAAATAGATGATGGAGGTTTCTTGAAATTGTAGTTCAAATTTGTATATGGAAATGGTGAAATGAAAAATTCGTGTCTTTTTAGGGTTCAAACGCAAACGCCAAAAGATATTTTCAAAACATTTCAATCCCCCCACAAAATTTACTCCCCGCGCCCCTCTTTTTCTCCCCAGTTGAAATTCAATCTCTCTTCCAATTTCTTGAAAAAAACCCATTCAAATCTTTAGACCAATCCAAATTCCAATCTTTGTCTTCCTCTTTATTCAATTCCTGCACATCCCCTTTTTTAGCGTGTGATTGACGCCCAAATTTCCATCCTACAATCCATATGAAGAAGGGAACTAAGCGAAAGGCTGCTGCGGCGAGCCGTAAGGATGAAGCAGCTTCTACTTCTGCAGAAGCCACCGCCGCCACCACCACCACCACCGCTGAACAGCAGCAGGAGCAGCAGCAGAAACCCACCAAAGCTGTTAGGAAGACAAAGCGTTCAAAGATTTCGAAGCCTGAATCAGAGCCTGAGTACTTCGATGAGCAGCGTGATTTGGTAAAATTATACGTGTAGTTAATTTGTGTTTTTAATAAATGGTTTTGGTAAGCTGCGTGGTGGATATGTAAATACAAGTGCTAATTCAACATCGTAACTGATCAAGATATAAGATCTATGGGTGATTTGTTACACAATTGATTCAGCTCAATTTAATCTTGAGAATATGTACGCTTTTTTGTGTTAGGTAGTGGATTATAGTGATTTATTGCTAAATTTGTATGCTGTTATAGATTTAAATACCGATGCTTCTTATGTGCATTGCTTTTCTCTAAATGTGTTTTGAACCAAAAATTCTCCCATTTCTTGTTTGTTGCATTTAGTTGTTCCTCTCTGTGGTACTGAACCACAGCTATGTCAAAAACATGATGTTTGTTTTTATTTTCTCACGAGTCATAATCAAGATTTTCGCTTCTTATGTTTTATTGGTTTCTTTTACTTATTGTTTTTGGCTTTTTGCAGGAGGACTTATGGAAGCAGGTGTTCCCTGTTGGGACAGAGGTTCGTGCCAGCATTTATGTAAAAAGTTCAAATTTAGTTAGTTTTGCTATACCGTGTAGGGTACTTATCGGCAATGACTATTTGATGACAGTGGGACCAGCTCGACTTGCTTTCTGAATACAAATGGAATTTCTCAAATCTAGAAGTGAGTTACATTGTCTTGCCTACTTTAACCCTAATACACCATTTAGTTGTACGTTTTGCGTTCCTCCAACTCTTTATCGCATTGAGAGAAAAAATGTAGGTGGTTCGTAGCCACGTGCTCTAATTCTCTAAGCTACAGTCCCCACTCTGTTTCCACTGGATCTGTTCCCGGGAATACCCTCAAAAAAGGAACCTTTGCTCTCCCCAGCCATTTCGGCCTCGTAAGAAATAAAACTAACCAAGTTTTTAAATGCTTTGTCAAACTGTACAGGAGGCATTTGAAGAAGGCGGGGTATTACATGGGAAGAAAGTCTACCTCTTCAGTTGTACAGAGCGTAAGTAGTGAATTGAACTCATTCTTACATTGCTAAAATCACATGTTTGGGTACTGAAAGCCTAGAATGTTGACTTGATATCTTGACCTTTTTACTTGGTTGGTTGATGATGACATTATTGTTTACATCCTAAATTTCTAATCAAGAATTTCAAGGTGTTATAGCATGCATCTTACTCATTACTCTGGGGTTTCTTATATTTTGTTATTTTTTTGTCTGTTGCAGCACAATTGCTCTTTTTTCAGGGTCAATCAAAAGTAACCTGCATACCTGTAGTGGTTGCGGTAAGTAGAATAAGCTTCTTTTTTGTTACTGTATACACATTTCAAGCTTTGCGTGCATGTCAAGGGCGATATATACATATATATATATATATATACATATATTTGGGTGGGGGTAGTATAAATTCTTTTGGTATGAGATGTAGTGGTAATCTCTTTGTTCTGTTGGTTCCATGAGGGAGGAATGTCTGTATAAAGAAGTAAAGCTGATTCATACTATCACATGTCCGGGTCAGCTAATTGTGTTTTCCAGCAGCTTTAGGAACACTTGTCATCATCTTTTAAATGCAACCTTGATGACCAAACAATTACTCACCTTATGAAGTGGCTCTAAATGTCCTTTTTATTTTATTTTCTATTTACTTTACCTTCAATATGACTTGACGCCTTGTGGACTGTGGTAACATGCCTTTGTATCTTTCACGTCTGTGGATATGGGCAACTGTGTTGATCACATGTATGAACAAATTTATCTGGCATGGTAATTTTGAAAACTGACTCTTGGTGTTGCTGCTGTGTATTTATGAATAAATATGCTCATGAAGATCTTATCATGATTGATGTTATCATATAATTAACAGAAGATCTACTTGTTGAGTTGATATTCTATTGTAGCTAACTAGATAATGCAAATGTTGCTTTCAATTGTTAGAAACAAGTGACAGAATCTCCAATTCATGTGTCTTCACATGCCTATGATTAGTTGGGAAGTGCTCAAATAATCATTCCTAAGAACATTCTTGCAATTCCCTTGTTGATATTTCAAAATATTATCTATATTTATCTTTTATACCATTGAGCAGGTTGTATCTCCATTTCCACCTTCGGATAAGATTGGAATTAATTCCGTACAAAGGGAGTCTGAAGAAATTCTTGACATGAAACAGATGAAAATGGATTGGGTTCCATATATCCCATTAGGAAAGCGGTATTGATATTTTCTTTATTTGGATGACCTTATTTGATGAGTTCCAATTAGCGCTTGTTATTTTGTTGTTGGTTACATTGATATAAATCTCATTGTTGCAGGGGTTCATCAGTTGAAAGACTTAAGTCTCAAATCTTTATACTAAGCTGTGTCCAAAGAAGGTATTCTTCCTAACTAAAAATTCCATTTTCATGCTAGGGTGCATGTTACTCTTGGTGTGGTTCCATTTCCTCTTTTTATTTGCTTGATTTCAACGATTCAGTAATCCTAGTTTTGTGTTTTATAACTTCATTTTGGTAAGGCAATATGGCTAGATTTATAGTTAATACATTGGAAGATGAGAATATTACCATTCCGTCCTCAACATAATGTGTGTAAAAGCTTGTTTCAGCTATCTTAAGCTACAAAGTTCGTTGGTTTTGACTATAGATTTCTAACTTTATTGGGCCAACATTTGAAAGTGACATTGAGTGTTTGTATGTTTGAACAATTGAACTTAAAATTTGAAGTGATCGATTGATCACCAAATTCCAACTTATGCAAACAGAGGTTGCTAATACTTGCACCATTGAAGGGTTTGTCTTTCTCTCATTATAATGTGTTTTGTCATCTATTCATTCTCTAGGCCTTCTTTGCATCATCGAACTATTTATACCATCAATTATGTCACTTTTGGCCATACTCCCATGACATTAAGTGTGCATGTGTTAAGTTTTGATATCAACTTGCAGCACTGACCTCATAAATGTAAATTTGGTAGTATTGGGTATATGAATGCTGTATTTCAAGAACCTGTACTGGATAGAGGTTTGTGAAGAATGCAAAATTATTAGATAAACCTTATCTTGAATTTAGAGAATTTTATATTATTGTTAAGTATGAAAGAGGAATGATTGGAAATTTGGAATCCAGTGCTTTGCTTAAGTAAGCATATGGATCTGCATTTTGGAAGCAGAGCATGCAGAAAAATCGAGCAATGGATCTTAGAAGAATTCCACTTTTTTCGGCACGACTCTTTCTATTTCTGCGCCGACATTTGAGTTGTCTCTCTTCTTTCTTTCAATCGACACACTCGACGCAGATAACTCCGGTGGCCCCCACTTCTGTCTCTATCAGGCGGCGAYAGCCCCCACCTCCATAGCCACAGCATGGAGTAGCAGCTCCGTAATCCGCTATCTAGTATCAATTGAAAAACATTTAGTTTTTTTTGTTTGACAGAACTAGGGTATACAGCCTTAAACAATTGATACCAATAAAACAATTTGTGAAGTGTTTAATTTCTTTAGTGTCATTGGTAGTAGTTGTATAGGGTCATGTTCTTGTGTTCTACAAGGTTTAGCTATCTAGAATATTTTGTTCCCCTCATGGCAATAGAGTGAATTTTATGATCATGTTGTGGTGTCGGTTTTTGCTCTTATGGGTGATCCCTTGCAAGGGTAGGTGTCCTCCTTCCTTCTTGTTGTTTTGGTTACCATCCTACATAAGTGAAGCTGGACTAAATACAGTGTTAATAATATAAAGGAAAATTAATCAAAGCAATTTATTTATAAAATCAAACTTCTTCATGAGATTCTAATGACTCAAATGAGAAGAAAATTTAGTGAAAGATATCTCACTTGTGACTATGATGATTGTAATGTGCCCCATGCTCTTTTACGCTCATTTTAGTTGAGGACCGAATTTCCAATTTTGTGGTTACCCATTTCTTAAATATCAGAGCAGACCTTATTTTGAGCAAACGTAAGTCTAATCAATGGGAGTTGAGGATGTGGCTTGCTTAATTGGTTGCTATTCTTCAATGTTTATTTTGTAGTTCTCTTGTATCCAGATTGATAGATAATGTTGTTTACTGTCTGTTTTTGATTCAGGGCTGGTTTAAAACATTTGAAGCTGGATCGTGTTAAGAAGTTCGAATACTGCTTACCATGTAAGTACATATGTAGATTCATTAAGGTTTTCAGTTTTTCTTTGGTTTACCCTTTGCCTGTGATGATCATTAACAATAGGGGGGACTTGTCTTTTTCTCAGTATGGTATTTTTAAATAAATAGTCATGTTGAATCAAACATGCTACTCATTTTCATGAATCATCTTGTATTTTGTGGTGTTATTTGCTTATTTTTGTCTTTGTTTCTACTGCTTCAATATTTTGTAGAAATAATTTTGGAGATTTACACTGCCCTTGGATTTGGTTTGTTATGTCTTAAGTGAATATAATGGCACTGACTTGTAAAAATCTGTCATTAGTCATGATGCTTATTCAACACAGGATTGGGCTCAAATTTGATTTGGGGATAGTTCATTATTATGGATGAAGTCTGTAATGCAACTACTTCAATTATAGCGTGATTCAAAGATTAACAATGGTTACAGTGTGGGTCTTTGGTTGGTGGGCAAAATTTGCACTTCGGAGCACAAGGGCTGGCTGGTGGTTGTGTTATTGACTTTTTGTGAGCATAGTTTTTAGAGCACCAGATTAACGCCAAATTTTTGGACTGTGTTGCAACATGAAAGTTCCATCCAGCATCCAGTGTCTACTGTTTGGCAATGATGCTGTTGCGAGCAGTGAGATTTAACATTGAATTTTCTAATCTATCATCTGTCAGTTGGCCAAGGTTGTGCAGTGGACAGATATCCTAATTTCTCAGGCAAACTTCTGGCATAGAACACAATGTCGTACCTTGGTACCTTTGAAAAATTTGCAGAAGACAGTGCCATTTTTGATCCTTGCTCTTAACTATAAACTAATAGGCAAATCCTGTGTTGGTGCTAGGCAGTTCACCTTTTCTCCGATTTTGTGTAGGTGGCATTACTTGAGTTTATGAATGCTTTGAATTCTGAAATCACACATCATTTTAAATAGAACTAACACCAGAAAATTTAGATATGTGATCAAGCTTGTCATGGATGATTAACTGAAAAGCTAAAACATCTGAGTAGAAGGAATGATAAGTTTCTCAAAGAATTTGGCATGAAACTGAGCATTCTGTTAAGATGTGTGTATGGTTGATGAAGACATTGCTATAATATTTTATATCAAGTGATTTTAGACAACTTTTTTATGGTTAAATTTGCAACAGCACCACAAATACAATGGCTAGAATAGCTCTACTTTAATGTAGCTTGCAATAAAACTACAATGGCTAGACATAGGCCTTATTTTGTAAAACCCTTAACCTATGCTGTTAATTGCGGTGAGATCTTGGATAGCGGACATTAGCAAAATCACGGTGGTCAGATTGCGGTAGTGCAATTATTGGCGCAATTTACCGCAATTTGGGGGGGGGGGGAAGCTATAGGGATGATGATGATGATTACGTTGGAGATGAAGGGGGAGAAGGAGAAGAGTGGAAGCTAGCCTAAACGAAGAAGTGAACATATTAGATGACGTTGACTTAGATGCTGAACGTATTGCTTGTGATTAGCTCATTTATGAACACTTTTCCTATTTTGCAAATGATATGTTTATGTAGGCATATTATATATAATTATATAATTCTAATAAATATTATATGAACCGTTATTTTTGGACCGCTATACCACTGCTATAACTGCTATTTCAAATATCAGTCCCCCCCGCAATTTTGTATTTTCACCGCTATAACAGCATAACCCTTGACCTTTAGGTTTCAAAGAAGTAACCGAACATTCATTAATGACGGTAGCAGTTCTTTTTATAAATTCATCAGTTGCTTAATTTTATCTAGAAGTCTCATTGCGTAAAAATTGTTGGTTGTTACTTGTTCGCCAATCTGATGCATGCTATACGAGATTCCAAACAGTGTCCATTGATATTCGTAGGCCAATCTAGTTGACCTAGAATTGCCTAGATTCTTGGTCTGATGAACTACAAGTTTTGCAATGTAAACCCTACGGCATTCACCAGCTTTTGTGCCATCTTCCCTTGGTGTGATATGTAATAGCTTTCAGTTGGCATCACTATGATACTTTTGTCATCTAACTTACAGGATTAGGTGAAGGCATATGTTTTAATAGTGCCACAACGTATGGGGACTGGTTGCATAAAGATCCTTGTTCTTAGAAGTTAGAACCTCTGAGAAGCATGTGGCATCTGGAAATCACACCACCTTATATGGGTTATTAAGACTTCCCACTTGGATTTGTGGAAGGACTTCTGAAATTAATTTCTTTTCTGTAAATCTAATACTAAAGAGAACCCCTCATTGTTACCCTATATTGTTCATAAATGGAGTGAGTATAGAGGGATGGATGATTTTTCTAGATGATGTGACTATTCCTTGTTCTGTTGTGACACCAACTGGTCTCTTGGGCCTTTTGTCTTTTGGTTTTGGTAATCAAATGTGCATTTAAATCTGTACAGTGTTGTCAATAAGTTTCTATTTTTGCAGACTTTTATCATCCCTTTAAGGAAGATGAGACAGAACAGAGTACTATTGTGGATATCATGTATCCAGTGGAACCAAAGCCTGTAAGTTGCTCTTGGCACGCTTTGCTTCTTTATTTTTTTCACCAGATTGCATTAGTGATCTATGTATTTTTGTGACTATTGCGTACAACTATACACACTTCTTTGCAATGACTATATCATTTCTATCTGATATCATGATCTATTCATGTCTTAACTTTTGGCTTTGGTTAGCACTACTTATTTCCCTTGATTCTTTTGGTTGAATTTCTATAGGTTGTCTGTGAGTTCGATTGGGAGATGGATGAACTTGAGGTGAGCTACAATCCTCTTTTCTCTTAGTTCTTTTGATTTAGGTACCGATTGGCTGCCTTTTGGTTTTTTGGGTATTTGTTTATTGGTTTTTTGAAGAGTATAAACATGCTTTGAAAATCATAACTATTATACAAAAATTATGTTAAATGCTAATTGTAATAGGTAAACTTGGTCTCTATATGTCTTTGAGGGTTACAAGAATTGGTTTATGAATAAAAACACATACCTACTCTTTGCCATTCATGAGATTGAGGTTTTGGTAATCCAACCAAATTTCTATAAGTTTTATTTATTTATTTTCTTGTTCATCATTTGAAATAATCTTGCCAAATAGGTTTTGAATTCATTACCAAACGAAAACCAAGTAAATTGTTGACATTACAAAAGAACTATGAACAAAATATAGAATTGCAAGTTTTATTGAACATGGCCTTGAATTATTTTCATGACTGAAACCTGTAAACTCGAGGCCATAAAGAAGCAATCATGCCACCGTTATTCAGATAATTATGGAAACAATGGTTTCGATCATCAAAGCATTTGCAATGTTCTTTTTAGGAATTTGCTAATGAGCTCATTGCTGCGGAGGAGTTGTCAGAAGATCAAAAGGATGCCTTCAAGGTAAACTTAATTGACTAGTTAAACTGTCTGCTTCAGTTGTCTTTATATAAAATAATTATCAACAATATTTCTTTTTTTAAATAGGAATTTGTGAGGGAAAAGGTTCGAGAAGGAAAGAGAGCTAATCGTGAGGTAGGCTTATTGTTCTTCTCTTGGATATTTGGTCTATATGCTGCTTGAGCTTGGTTTCAGCTTTGTATTCTTGACATCCCGTAGGCAAGGGAAAAGCGGAGGAAAGCCCGAGAGGAAATGAGTCAAGAGAAAGTGGCTGCATTTCAGAACATGCGGTTTTATAAATTCTATCCTGTTGCTACTACCGACACCCCTGATGTCTCCAATGTCAAGGTTTGATTATTTTCCTTTCATTTAACAGAAGTACACACACACACACACACACACTAGAAGGTACTCGCACAATGCATCAGAATACATCTCGATTTTAATGTTTCCTTTTATTCTGTCTTTGTCAATATTATAACACGTTTTTGTATGGTTTTGAGAAAATGATAATGTTTTTACGTTTGAATAAAATATAAATTTGAATATCCCATAAAAACTTGAAAATAAATATCAATATTAGAATCAAATTAAGTATGTAAAAGTTCTCGTTTTTTGTGTAATTTCTTTAATTCGATTTTTATTATAATTTAATAATGAAGTAATTTATTTCCGGTTGAATAATATATTTTTTTATAAATATTATAATCAACTATTCTCTCAAATGTTGATGATTATCCTAATAATATTTTAAATTTTTTATATTTAAAATGAGATATTTATTCTATATTTGATTATGTTTATCAGTAGTTAGTTATATAAATTAAAAATGGAGCTTTAATAAGGTGTACTGTACTTGAACACAATTTACGTGTAATTTTGAATTTTAAGTAATATGCATCAATAAAGATTACTTTATTCAAAAAAATGTTTTTTAAAGAGTATTTTTTTTATCAAATAGTGTGTGTGTGTGTGTATATATATATATATTATGTGACTGGTGAAACTTGACATTCAAGTAACATACTCATAAAATTGCATCTTTGTGGAAAACTCCAAGCTAAAACTGCAACTTTGCTCTTGATCAAGATAAATCTATGTTCTATATTTGACAGGGTATTTTATACATTTGATTAGGATGTTTTTTTTTATTAACCCGGATATCCAACCCGTTATACGAGCCGACTAATCCCAGGGCGACCACCTGCTTTGTAGATAGCCCGGAGTCACCGCATTTGAACCTCTATGGCCATAAGGGGATTTTTATTCCTCCTTGGATTTGAACCTGAGATCTCCTGGTACTTTTGACCTTTGGAGCCAAGCTCAAACCAATCAGGCACCACCTTTGTGGTTAATTTGATTCAAATGTTGCAGTTCTTAATCAAGGTTTCCTTTGTTTGGCAACTTTTAAGATACTTATTTTTTGAGCTTATTGATTAGTAAGCCAACAAGTAGCTTATCGCTTGGTTTGTCAAACATAGCCTTTAATTGACCGATTCCCTTGTCATTGAATTTGTCCTTGGTTTTGATTCCTTTGATGTGACAGTGAAATTACCTATCTGCTTGATTTTGATCATCAAAATCCCCTACTTTCAAAGGGCATTTTAGACCTTTGATTGATTGTAACCAGGTTAAAGGAAGAGTATTTGGTTAACCGTGTGTGTGTTTTTTGTTGCAGTCTCCATTCATAAATAGGTATTACGGCAAAGCGCACCAAGTACTGTGACTGTGAGCAGAATCGTGTTGACGGGCACCCTTCACGTCCTCCTCTATGCTTCTGAAGATTTCCATGCATGTCATGTTGCGGCTCGCATCCAGCCGATACATGGAACACATCGACAGTTTTAAGAGATTGTTGTAGATGATGGTTGAAGAGAAGACTCTAGTAACCAGCAAAAGGGGTTTGTTTGTGTATCATGACTTGATATATTTGTAGGTGTAGGAATTTTGTCCTTCAATTTTGAAATTTCCTACTAAAAGGCTATGAATTTGCTTATCATCCCAACTAGAGATGGTTGCTTAATCACAACCTCAATCAACAAGTTTATTTAATTAAACAGAATTGGACCTATTTCCAAATAAGGTGGGTGTATGTGTGTGTATATATATACACATATATATATATATACACACACACACACACACTTGAATAATTGTGTGAGAATAAGAGTTGAGAAGTGTAAGAAGGGATTTGGATCCTTGATCACTTTTAATCTTAAAATAACACATCAATTGTGTTTTAAAAATGCATTGATATGGTGTTTCTCCTTAGTATTGAACTAATGGAACTCTTTAGTTGGTATTAATCATCTCTTCTTATCTTATCACCATAACTCTTGGGGGTGGTTGGTTTGTCGAATGGAATTCGAATTCATCAAATGAATTTGACTTTGAGGGAATATAATGAAATTTGATCATGCCTTGTGATTGCGTTTGGTTGCATGGAATTGGAATGAAATTCTTAACGGATTGGATTTTTTTTTGTTTGGTTTACGGAATTCAGCTTTGGAATCGAAATTAAATATCAACAAATGACCTTTTATGATTTTTGAATAACAGAATTGGACTAGTGATATCGATAGCTAGTTATCTTGAATCGATTCCTTGATTACATATGTTGTCTATCGATCTCGTATAGATGGAGAAATTACGAGAGAGCGAGAGTGTACCAGATGGAGATCGAACCAAAGATCAATTAGATGAGATGGTATACGCAACGTTGAATGAATTTTGATTAGAGAAGAAATTTGTTGGAAAGGAATTGAAACCCGAGGGTATTGCCATGGAATGTAAAATCTGTGAGTGAAAAAATTTATTGGAATTGAAAGGATTCTATCAGTTTTATTCCATGAACCAAACATTGTATTTGGAATCTGGTTAAAGAATTTGGCCATTTCAATTCCATCCAAATCCATGAACCAAACAACCCCTTAGGTTCTATTTGTTTTGTGAAATTGGAATTTAAGGGATTTGAAATTAAATTCTATTTATATATATTGGGGTATATATAAACACGTTAAACGACAACTTGTTGAATTTTAAGAGGTATCTATATTTATTATGCATGATGTACAAGTTTTGAACCTAAACACATTCCATGAAACTTCCACGTTCTAAAAATAATATTAAAATCAAATTATTTTTAATTTTTAAGTTACATTTTATAACCTTATAATTAATAATTTAATTTATTTTACATCCCTTAATTTTCCATTTTTTATTTTACATATTTATTATATTAATATTAATAATCATATATATGAATTAAAATACCTTTTTTTTACAAATTATATCGTTATCAACAAAATGAGGCTAACAATGAACATTTTTTAATTTAATGCTATTAGTAAATACCATAAACGCGTAGTGAATTATTTATAAAACTTTATTTTATATCTTAAAATTATTTATTTAATTTGTTTTATATTTGTTAATTTTTTATTTTATACCCTGGTGTATGAGGTCATTTACCAAATGCTTATCGGGATAAATGCTTACCGGTAAATTTAACAATATGATTTACTTACCGGGTAAAATTTTAGTCCACCAAAACGGTATCTTATGTAGCAATTTACCCGCTAAACACTAACAGTGGTAAGAGTCGTCACATTCACTTATCAGATAAGATTCTTGATCCTTACCATATTCATCCGGTAGGTTAATGTGACTTGATATACACTTATCCGGATAAACGTTTCCGACAACTTTTCTATAATTGTGGGAAATTAATTGTGATGGTTAAATATTAGTTAAATGATGTACGGAGATATTAGTGTTGTAGACAAGGATTTATAGGGTGGGACCCATTAATTTGAATGGTGGTGGCCAACAACAACAATAATCAATTGTAAGATGCCAATTTTATTAATTTATTAATATTTGTTAGGTACGGACACAGATCTCAAATTATGTAACGGGGCCTTGTCGGAAACCCATACGTAATCCGTGTAGTTGCGTTTGCGTATAAACCATAAATAAAACCATACAACTAACAATTGTTAATGTTGTGCAGTATGCTTCAGTTATGTTGATATATTAATGTGCTCATGTGTACTGAAAATTTCAATTCTCAGATATTTCAATATGCAAGAGGAAGACTCATTATCAAAATGACAAAAGCTCCTCTGTCTTAGTCTAGTAGGTTAGTAACTCACACGACCGCATGACCCAACTTTATRATAATCAGTTAKAAATTTAGTTTTTTTTTTTTTTTTTTTTTTTTGCAAAAAGATTTAAAGATTCACAAATCATAATATGACTCACACAACTATTCGGTAAGTTCAATCAACAGCAGAAATCAGTCATTCGAGATTTCCATCTTTGATTTCTTGAATCTAATTTCATGGCCGTTAATCGGCTGGAAAGAGAACTACATGCCTTAAAAATCGAAATAGCCGAACTTTGAAGAACAATAGAAAATAAATTGAGCTGTTGGAACAATGGCGTTACCCGGTTCACGATGTGCATTCAGTATTCATCACTACTAGGCCCTGTGCCTGTTTTTATAATTAAAGCTCGGTTGTTCAATTCATAAATTATTAAACCCAAAACTAGTAATAGATGACAACTTGATGCCCCTTTAGGCTTTGATGCCATGTACGACCGCACGGGCTGCATGTAGCCAGGGCCGACCCTGACAACTAAGTATACGCTAAATGAATCAGTAATAAATTTTTTTAAGAAAAATTATGAATAAATCTTGACCTTTTCTTTTTGTCGGGAAAAAATCTTGACGTGTTTTCACAAACCTTAAAATTATGCCATGATCATTAACACTTAGAAACAACATAACAATGTTGTTTTTTTATGCTTATTTCATGTAGATATGTATACATACGCACTATATGTGTGCGCGTGTGTGTATACATATAAGAGTTGCACAATATAATGACGATTCTAGATCTGGCAATGTAAAGACCGAATCTGGACCGGAGATCTAGGACTGGTTCGGTTTGGAAAAAGTTTGATCCGATACATTTGGTCTGGTTCGTTCAAAATGATACTGCCTATATTTGGTCTGAAAAAAGATGATACAATCTTCATATATTCTTCCAATTCTTGTAACTTTCTCGATTTTCCTCCGTGCTCACATTAACGAGAGACTTCTTCTCCAAACACGTCATAAAAACACTTAAGTTCGAGTTTGATGGCGGTGGTAACTCATCTGTTATCATTGGTGATAATAATATTTTGATTTTGATCCTAAAACTATAATGCTATATGTAAATCTAAGATTCATCTGTGAATCAACTAAATGATTCATATGTGAATGACTTAAATAGTTCATATATGCATATAACAACAAAAATATGAACTAAATCGGTTTCATATATGCATTACTATAGTTTACATATATGAATTAGTTAAATAGTTCATATATGAATCATAAGGTTCACATATGCACATATAATTTATATACGAGTTCATATATACACATATAATTTATATGTGAATCACACAGGTTCACATATACACATATAGTTTTATATATGCACATGTCGCCTATTCTACTGTAGTTGTAAAAGTTACGAAACTACCTCATTATCTTCTGCATAATTGTTACCATACTATCGAATTATCTGGTAGAATTAGCTCCTGAAATCTTGACTGTTAATTTTTTAGTGGAAGAGCTAGGATCACTTCTCTATTTCTCATATATTTGTAGCTTCTCGTTAGAAAAAAATTAAAAATTTACAAGGGTTTAAAACAAAAATTTTACAACTTTTACCTTCTACCTCTTTTGCAAGGGATCCCACAACACTGGGAATCAATCAAAAAAAGTCTCCTGAAATCAATAAAAAAAACCCTGAAAAATTCATTTGAAGTCGACAAAAACATTAAAAAAATTCCTTGAAATCAACCAAAAATCCCTCGAAGCGTGTAATTAGGATAAAAACACGTCGAACGACTTTGCGGGCCTTTAGTCTACCTTAAAGGTGTCCCCACTAGGAAAAAAATCTGCCACTGGCCATGGTAATTTTTTTTAAAAGTTTCTTGGTTAAATTCAAAAAGGTTTTATTAAACACCAAAATGAACGTTGTTCATAACTGTAAAAGAGTAATGAAATCATGTGTTCATAGGTGAAAGTGTGAACAATGTTCATAAAACAAGTTGCACATATTTGATAAAACATGTGTTCATAGGTAAACCAGATTACCACATACCAACAAAACTAATGCGATCACAGGTGAATCAGATTATCACATACCAACAAAACTAATGTGATCACAGGTGAATCAGATTA